GTGTCATACACTTTCACATTTATTTTGTTAAGTGCTGACTAGCTGGCAGTAAAAAACGTGTTTTAAATGGATAAGCGCGAGATAAGTTTGAATTATTCAGCAGCTATAAGGAATCAATAGTCAGTCTGTAATTTAAAATAGATTTCTCCTAAATACCGTCTGTAGTTTACGCGAGTAGTACACATTTAATTAAAACACTTTAACGGTTTAAAACGCGATAAATTTTAGTTCAACTTGTTTGATAATTTTTCAAACTACGGCCCGACGTTTTCCCCGTGATCACGGCTGCTGCAAAGCATCTGAAAGTCCCTAATAATTATCAATTATCAGTAATAATTAATAATTATCAGTCCTTAAATAGACCCTCATGTGTCCCTATATATAGGGCATATACATAAGCCTTAGTACACGTAAGTGTAGACATGCTGGTTTCAAGCAGAGAAAAACATTAAAAAATAAACCGACCTTGGAAAGAAAGTAGATCGACATCTTGAAAGAAACAACATTGTGATAGAAGACAGACAAGCCTTCCATCGGTAAAGGTAATATAACCCAGTCATATAACATCTAAGCAAGATCCATTGTGGACCTATTTGGCTACTATGTATTGCCTATATTAAACATGAGTAGTATGTAAACAGAAACCTTTTAACGGTTTAAAACTCGAAAGATTTATCACTCTTTCAGAAGTTTTGAGCAGTGCAGTCGGATCGTGATTAAAAATAAGAAAACGCATATATGTTCCGCGTTTTGAACCGTTAATAGACGTTTAGGTTTAACTAGGAAAATATGTGCTATAGTTTACACGTTAAATATATTTATTGACTGTATTTCAATGTGTGGCCGCTGCTACCGAGCTGACAAAATTAAAAAAAGAAATCCAAGCGCACCTAGACAGAATGGTCAGCTTTTTCTTATCAGCAATTACCGGAAGGTTGGGAAGCGATCCAATAAATCCTCGTTACGCTCCTGAAGCATCGATCTCATCGCGTGCGCATTCAGTTAATTAATGAGAAAAACGCGTCACGGAGCGCAAACCGCGCGTTTTTTGCGCTCGCATACCGCCCGGAAGAACACGCGCGTTCGTCGCTTTTTATTGAATTCGTTATTGAGATCAATGCCCGTGCGCAGGTGGGATAATTCGACGGATGACACCATTGGACTAATACTATTCCACATTTTCATATCCCGACAACACACAAATGTCCCAGGTTTGCAATAACTAGTAGAGAATGGAATAGAGATAGATACTTGAAGAGAAAAAGAGCCTCGCACGCAAATTGCGTTGGTTGATTAGAGTCCTTGTCAAGTGAATATAAGATTTGGTTAGTATCTGTTCGTATCCCGTCCTTTTATTTCTATTAATAATAATATTTGAACTGTTGTCCTGGCAAACGCTTTTTTGCTACACGAAATATTTCGACGAATTTAGGCTTCCATAAAAACGGTTCGTGCGTTAATCTTATAAGATTTAAATACTTTCTATAGTTTACGCGAGTAGTACACATTTAAATGAAACACTTGGAATGTCGGGACGTCGGGCCTAAGTTAAAAATCATTTTCAAATAAGTTTAACTAATATATCGCGTTTTAAACCGTTGAAGTGTTTTATTTAAACTTATAAGATTTTTTTAGATCAGAGATTCATCAAAAACATGTTCTTTTTGGTATCTTGAATTGTTTTCGCAGCGCACGCAACGGTTGCCCTCAAGAGGAATAATTTTACCCGATGTTTCTTCACTCCTAGGTCGCAGCTAATATTTTCTAACTTCAGAGAGGTGTTTCAACAAACACAAAAATAACTTTTCAATTCGCACGAGTAGTTCCTGAGATTAAACAAACAAACCAACCAACAAGCTTAATATTATAATATTAGTACAGATAATATTGACGTCGATTTGAGAAGTCGTTTTGAAGACAATTATACGTTACTTCATAATATTGTGGCATATTATTGTTCTCTATAATTGGTATTATCTGTGAGGTCGCGTTATTCAAGGTCGGGGTTGTCGGCCTGCGGCGGTGACACCGCAAGGTGCCCCTCGGAGCCCTAGCGATACCTACATCCACGTTAATAATTACGCCTTATCTTCTGTCTAAATCATCGTTCACTTTCGCCCTATGTTTACATAGCAAATTATGCGATAGGCATTAAAATAAACCGCGTCCAAGGTTACGATTAAAACGCGAAACATAAGGTAATAATTTACAATTTCCTTTAATTACGGCCCATCATTTCGGGCCTTTGCAGCAGCTGTAGTCATGGGGGATTGAAGATCCATCTTCTGCTAAGTAATGTAGAATACACTTACAACCTAAGAATATCTTGTATCTTCGCGCATATTAACGTTATTTAATTTCTGTTAAATTTACGTGGGTATAGAATCCACGACCTTATGTAGTCTCGAGTTAGATACTCGAATCTTGGTAAATTATGAAGTGATTTTTCATTTAAAATCCTTATAAGGCTTGTAAATAAAATACTTTTTACGCTTTAAAACGCAAAATGTATTAGTTACACTTCGGATTCTAAAAACACTAGATTAAAAAAAACGGCATACCGAGAAACGCGGGACACCGTGATTCAGTTCTGCAAGGACCCAGCTTGTTTTACCAAATACCATCTACGAGGAAACAGATGGCGCTAGTGTATTAGATTCGACATTGACATTAGGGACACCCTGCACCATCAGTTCCCTCGTCAACAGCAAAAGCATCCGAAACTACGGACCGTAGTTAAAATTTATCTATACTTTTTTTAAATAATATATAAAGCTGAAGAATTTGGTTGTTTGTTTGTTTGAACGCGCTAATCTCAGGAAGTAGGGGTTCGAATTGAAAAATTCTTTTTGTGTTGGTAAGAGCATTTATTGAGTAAGGTTATAATCAGGTAGCTCGTTAAGAATATCGTAAATCGAAACTAGAACAATGAAACTTTATTCTTTGGTTTTTGGGAATGTGAGAGTGTTGCGGCAAAGTAGCACAAACAACATAGATCGGCGGCCCTAAATGCGCCCTTACATAAATTCATAAACAGCCTAAATAATAAAAAATTCTACCCCAAGTCACTATTCCACGCGGATGAACACACAGGCACAGCTAGTTATAAATAAGTTACATAATACATTTCGCGTTTTAAACCATTAAAAGGCGTAATACTAGCGTTAACTACAGACAATACTTATAAAGATCATTGCATTACGTTTCATGAATACGACAGTTTTCGAGAGTAGCCCAGTTGTGTTGAGGATTGATTGCGGACTACAGACTAGCTTGACCACGATGTCGTGATGCACGCGATTATTTTTTTGAGATGCAACCAAGCGGAGCCACAGAAAAACTAAACGAGGTTATATTGAAACGGGAGAAAGACAGCTAAGTGCTTACAAATTGTTTATCACATGTGCTTATATCGACTGCAAAATACGAGAATTTACACAAGAAATTTTCTCTCTTTTATAAGTAATGAACTTAATACTAAATCATGAACTGCCAATTGTCTTTTATCGTATCAATATGTCAATACGATACGAGTATCATATTAGTAAGGGTAAGAAAGAGAGAGAAAGTCTAGAAAAAATATCTAAAAACAAAGATCTAACAGTATAGACTTTATTTTAACAAATAATAACAACAACAGAACCAGGAGAAACAGTATTCTATATACTTAAATAGTACACATTTAAATAAAACACTTTAACGGTTTAAAACGAGATATATTAGTTAAACTTATTTGAAAATGATTTTTAAGTTCGGCCCGACGTTTCGGATGCTTTACAGCAGCCGTGGTCACGGGGAGACAAATCAAATAAGTTTAATTAACATATCGCGTTTTAAAGCGTTAAAGTGTTTTATTTAAATTCTATATACTTTTTTTTCAGGTAATAATATCATCAATTTAGCAGGATTTTAACGTTAGATAGCAGACAACACACTGTACACAAAATAAGAACAAAGATATTTTCCCTCGCACGGTTTTATAGACACATTAAAGTAGCAAAAGTATATTTAAACAGCTGTTTAAGTTATAAATATTCAATAAATACAGAGCTACAAAATAAAATACAGTTATGAACAAATATTATTATTAATAAATAAATTAAGTGATTTTAATTAAAACAGTTTAATGTAATGTAAAAATGAACCTTTGATTTAGCAATATCTGCACAGATATTGCTAAAATAATATATTATTTTTCGTGTAAAAATTATATACTACTCTGATTTTAAGTACGGAAATTACTAATATGTGAAACAATTTCTGAAAAACATTGAGAAAGTTTGAATTTCTCAATACATTTTTTACCACGCATTAAGGGAAGAACTGCTGGCGTTATAAACTTATAACACTCAATAAAACGTTTAATAAATTTGCGCATGTGCAGATTAGGCGCCGCCCCTTAATTTTGAGCCATGACCTAGCACATTAAACAGATTTCGTATATGACTTTCCTCGTTGTTCTATGTAGGTGATAATCAGACATATTTTAAAAATCAGATATGACGCAATCTTATTAAACTATGAGCAGGTAAAAGTAAAACACTAAATAAAATACTATTTATGTAATTTTATTGTACCCCACCTACGGAGAACATTTTCAAACAAAATTTAACGTATGATTATTATTTTACTTCATTATTTATTTTTACCAAGAATTAGCGACCCAGCACCTGAAACACCTTTTATAAATGTTTTAACATTTGAACACGAAGAGTTTTACTTTAATTATTGAGATATAAATAAAATGCGCCGGATACTCTGTGGGCACAGATGTAATGGCACTAAGCGCATGTCAACTTACGTCACTTACGATTGACAGTGAAAATTGACATTCGACATATCTTGACAAATAAACCAAATTCACAATAAACTATAAAGTACCTGTGTAAAGGTCCTTTACATTTATTTACAGTTTTACCATGAATTGAAATTGTTTATTTTTATTTTTTACACTTTATATAATCTAATGAATTGATTTTTTTACTAATGAATTAACCACAATGAATTTATACTTAATAAGCGCTTTTATTCTTACATGGTAAGTGATTGTTTATGCAATTTTGGTTTAGATAATTCCTTGTTTTAATTCTGTTCTTGTTGTAGTTTACCGTTTTCGCTACAAACAAAACATGACTTTGATTTATTGATATTTACACAAAACTGGCCGGCGACAGTATGTAAGGAATGGAAGAAGATGAATCCTCAGCACCAATGTTCCATGCCACGTAAAAACGATGCTTGGTCTATTCATGGCATATGGCCAACAAAATTGGGTACGATCGGACCATCGTTTTGCAATAGGACCTGGTTATTTGACCCTGACAAAATTCAACCTATTGAGAACAGGTTGTTAGAGGAATGGACTAATATTTTTAATGGTAATTGAAATTATGTAAGAAGTCGTAGTTTATCCTATTTTCTTATTCTTTTTACACATAAAAATTGTTTATGAAAAATGTTAAATTTTGCTAAGATATATGGAAATCTCTATATTTTTACTGTGCATGAAAAAGTAGGCTACTACTTTTTCATTAATTATGTAAACAAATATTTCAGCTATACTTTGATAAGACCTGAATATGTGTTACATTCTAAGTAACATACATTTTGATTACTGTCTGTTATTAACTGCATTCATTTCATAACACTAATTACCATAATTATTAAGGTAATGAATAAATAGCATTAGCAATTTAAGTAAAAGAAAAATTACATAATAGTTTTGCAGAATTAAGACCATAAAAAGGTTCTTATTTATATAAAAGATGCTTCAAAATAAAATAACTTTTTAAATTCTATGCTGTCCTTTTATAATTTCCTTTGCTGGTATACAGTATCCAGTTTGTTTTAATTCTGTATGAAAATGTTACAGGCACTTCCAACTATGCACTCTGGGCTCATGAATGGACAAAGCACGGGACTTGCGCTGCCCAACTAGAAACTCTGAACTCTGAATTCAAGTACTTTTCAATGGGTCTTGATTGGCTAGAGAAATATTCCATGGGGAACATTCTTAGTAAAGCTGGTATAACTCCATCAAATTCTCAAGACTATCACATAACAGCTATAAATGACGCTATAAAAAAACAATTAGACATAGACCCTGCTATCGAATGCAGAAAAATGGATGGATCGAGTTTTATAACTGAGATACGTATTTGCTTCACAAAGGATTTGAAATTGTGCGACTGTGATGGGGTTCTGGCTCGTCGGGATATAGGTTCCGACTCTATTATTACCAACTGTGATGGTAATAAAAATATAATTTATCCCCATTATAAGGAAAACAGTATGTATATACAGTTATACAAATTGGTGACCTGGTTGCAGTGGTTTACTTTTTAATAGTATTGGTGGTTAGGTATAATAGTATGGGTAGTTTGTGATATATTAGTAATTATTGCCATGTATTTTTCTTATCTCAAACCGCAGACATATTTGCAATATTGAGTTATGATAAAAATTTGTGACATTTTTGCATACTTTACAACTAATGAAATAATTATTTGACATAATAAAATTTACTGATATTCTTTGCACAATGAATTCTTAAATATTATTGATTTTTACACTTTTATTATTATGTCTAGATCTATGTATCTATTTTTTTCTGTCAGTTGGCTTATACACTATACTTATGCTTAGTTTTAATAAAAAAATCCAAAAAATCTTATTGTGTCTTTACTGAACTGGATTTCCATGAGCTTTGTAGGTTGTTATTGTAACTATGTATATATTTTTTTTACATTTTGGAAATTATAATAGTGATAATGGATTTGACTTAAAGGATTATTCTGTTAGAAATAACAAAAACGAGTTTGTGACTTATTCTTTATTGTAGCATTTTCTCAAAGCCAAAACATACCAGAATTGACTCATCCACCCATATGGAATATTTTTGTGTTCATTTGTACAAATAAATATGACGGGTATATTTCATATCCATTCTTCAGTTTTGTCCTTTAGACACTATAATAACAGCGGATGGAACTAAGCCTGAAACACAAGGAAATCATTTATTCATGACTTCTTAAAATTTTATGGGAAATGTAATAATTATTAAATTGTATAATAGTAATAGATTATAGAGCATCATCATCAATACCTAATAAATCCAATGGCTTTTCATAGTCCTCTGATGTGAAGATTTTTTTAGGAAATGTTGTCATAAACTTGAAGTGGTCTTCCTGTGAGTACTCTGGCTTGTTCATTTGTAAAAATAACCTATAATGACAGATACAACCAATTTTGTTATTTTCCATAGCTTGAAGAACAAATCCACAGATTAAATGGCTATAGGCCACTCCTACAGAAGTGGAAAAAAAATACTTTTGTTTGTTATTAGCAGATGTGGTTTTGTAACAACATGCTAACATGCATACAATTTAATGATTGTGTAGATGAAATAATAAGGATTTTTTGATATTATAATTGGTTAAAATTTGATAATCTTCCTAGCTTCTAACAGTGACAAAATCTATAAAGTTCTAAAGCTAACCTGACAGCAGCCAACTGTTCCTTAGCTCCAAAGGTTTGTGAGAGTGACTGCCCATCCGGTAATCGTAGCTGAATCCTCGCTTGCTCGTAAGAAACTTTTGATCCTGGTGTAGGATTTGCTGGGGGTGGTACTGGAGCTGCTACAGGCGGAGCTTGACCTGATGCAGCCAATCTGAAAGTTTAATTATACTATAAATAAGTCAATGCAGGCTTTAGGCAACATCTTACCCACATGTGTAAAGAAAACTTAATGTAACAAAGTTTTCTATTGTAACAGACGTAAAATTTTTTTGGAAACATTTGCATATTTTTTCTTAATTATAGTATATTTATATTTGACGAGCAAAGCACTTGTAACTGTAAACTTGAAGACCCTTTCACTAATACTAACTTTCTAGCCTGTTTATCTGCTTCTATCTGTGCTCGTACTCTCTCTCTTGCTTTCTGATCTTCCAATTTTTCTCTCCTTCTTTGTTCCACCAATTTCTGCATCTCTTGTTCTTGAAGTCTTAGTTTGGCTTCTTGAAGGTCTTTTCCTGATTTTATTCTTAAGCGTTCTTGTTCAAGAGCTTCAGACTGAAAATCAAACAAGAGAAACACGCTAGAATAAGTCATAGAAGTAATCATTTTTTATTTTAAATCAATAGGAAACTAATTAGTTATTTTTTGAAAATAACAGTATAATAATTTAACATAGAAGGTTATGTAAGACGGTGAATCATATTTACACCAGTTTCAATGTTACAAAACTTAAATCAGACATCTATATTGTTCAAATATATTATAAAAATTTGCCATAGTAACATGCTTTGTAGTAAATAAGACTGTTCTTTATAATTATCATGGGAAATATGGGGTATATTGTAACTATATATGCAAAATCTACATTTAGTATCTTTATGATAGATATTTTTCTATATCTCTACTATAGTATAGTCATAATGAAGTACCTTCTCTCTCTCTTCTCTTTCTTTCCTTTTCTGCTTCATTCTCTCTTCCAATAATGCTAATTGAGCCTTCTTTTCCTCCTCAGTCAGTGGTTTTTTCTCCTCAGTCGATTCCGAGAAATTGCTGTGGTTGGTTTTAGCCGCGTGGTATTCCATTTCGTCTTGATTTTTAAATAACTTGCCGCAGTCTTCGCATTTGAACGATTTAGCTTCTGCAGCGGATTCAGGATTGGCCTCAGAGGAACTTGGAGGAGTAGCGGCAACATTAGCAGCGGGCTCGGAAACCGGGGCGCCGGCTGCGACAGGTACATTGCTAGAACTACCAAGAGTCTGTCCTGCACTGGCATCCATCTCGTCAGCATGAGCCAAAAGCCACTCCATAGCCGGTTCGACTCCTTTATAATTTGTGACGGCCAGCGCCTTTTCACTATAAACAAACACTTCATCAATAGTAACCTTACATTTGAAATGCACATATTATAACAAAGCACTTACGCTCTCTCTTTGGGAAAACCCATTTCCATTAATGTTTGTATTTCAGCCATATTTTTGCGAAATCCCTTAGTAAGTAAACACGTAAATTATGGTGTATCTAATAATAATTTTAAAAGAAATTCTCACTTTTCATCATTCAACTGATACTTCGATTTGACATCTAGTAATTCAAGTTTATCTGTCAAGTGTCAAGATGGCTCTTCTCTTTTTATTAATCTGTGGGTTATTTATGTAGTAGAAAATATAAAATTCTGTAAATATCAAAATCTGTGTAAGACACCAAAAACTAAATAATCTGTCAAACACCAAATACATACCGCCATATTTGAATTTTGAAGTACCAAAATAACGTTTTCGTTGAATTGTTTGTAAACTTTTATACCACAATGGCTTCACAAAAACGGCACAGCCGCCGAAAAAGTATTCAAAATAGCGATCCAGGGAAGATTTTAGATTTAGTGCTGAGCCTTACTGATGATGGCGCTGCGCAACTCGAAGTCAAAATAAATACATACGTAAGTATTTTCCACAAATCGATATCTTACTTTACTCTTATAATACATTAAGAATTGTTAATTAGTTACACGATGAATGTGATGCTGATGCTGTGCTACAAGTTGTAATCCACAATGTGGGTATGGAGGCTTCTATCGATGCCGTGGATTCAATTGCGTTACCACGAAAGAATAAGATATGTGTAAGTAAACGCCTAAGAGTACCATCGAAAGAGCTTAGGGGTGCTGGGGTTCATATTTTATAAGTCCGATAGATTAAAACTTGCTATATGTATATAAACGTATATACTGTATTTTATTGTAAGCTTAAAAAAGCCAATATCTCATATTGACGTAACGGTCTTGCTTTAATGTTTAAAATAAGGGAAAATTGTAAGAAAGGTGTAATGTGTTAAGTTTATAATGAAGATCGGTCAATTTCAGATGACCACTAAAATGGCGGATGTCTTAAAGACAATTATGGAACAGAGCGATATACTCACGAACTTCGGTTCGGATTTTCAATCAATTGTAGGACCTGTAAGTGATACTAATATATTAGTATTATCTATAAGGACACATACCCAATTTATATGTGATACTATAAATCCTCTTTACAGTATGTTACCAAAGACAACACCAAAAAGCGTGTTATAATGTTCCCAGTTTGCGATAAAACGTTTTCTGTGATTGTCTGTGTGATTGCGCCGAAGCTTTTAGAGGAACATGCCGCTATACTCATTCATGAATGCTTCCTGTAAGTATTTTTATAAAACTACCGTCATTGTTTAACATATGCCGTAGTCATCTTCCGATAGCAATCTTCTTCATAAGTTAAGACATAATTTGGTTTATTAATTTTAGTGGCTTAATAATGTAAATTAAAGTACTCTCTTTCATTCTGTGTTGTAAACCGTTAAAACTGTTTTATTTAAACACTTTGTGTGTGCTGTAGCACACAAAAGTGTTTAAATTGTTTTAATTAAAGGCATGGCCAGTTCTAAAAAAAGCAATTGCCCTAGAGTATGAATGTACTTTAAAACAGAAATGCCAGCAACTGTTGCGAGTGGCTAGGCGACTATTTACTCAGGTAAGATACTTGTATCTACCTCCTATTATCCATAATTATTTTATTTTTTCAGTAATCTTAAAATTTTGTCAGTCTTTTAGGAGACTAATTTCCTCTGAATAAAATTGATCACAGAATTCTGCCTGCCACAAAATGGAAACGGGAAGGAATATTGGAAGAATGAATCCTTTTTTTGTCTTCTTATTTTATTCTATATATTTGTTTGTTAGTAGTATTTGTTGTAGTTTATGTTTATTATTCTCGATTTTACCAATTTATACGTAAAGATGACGAAATGACGTAAGATTAGTTTCAGGTAGCGTCATTGGAAACGTTACTCCAAATCGCGATGGATCAAGCCAAGCAACTGACGAAGGCTGAGTACTGTTGCGTATTGTTGGTTGATGTGGAGCGAATGGAGCTTGTGAAGCGGTTCACTGGATCTACAAATGTAACTTTCTTTTGTAGCACTCAAATAACTTATGCCTTAGAAAGTCAAAACGTCAATATTGTTTATATTGTCGTATATCTTAATACTAGGTGTGCCAGCGACTTAGTCTGCGTAGAGTGGTAATTTTGGGTGTCAAATTTTGTTTTTGCAACCTCCTCTAAACTATCTAAGTTTTGCTGGGTCGTCGTATGTAAGTTAATGTTAAAGGCCTATACTGTGCAGCACATGTAACGGTAACTTTCAAAGATTAATAATTTTCCCCGATTGTTCTACATATACCATACAGCTACAAACATGTTTCCTTGCTTCTACTGGTCGCAGCGTGATGTTTACCTACAGCCTTCCTCGATAAATGTTCAACCAACACAAAAATAATTTTTCAATTCGAACCAATAGTTCCTGAGATTCCCGCTTCCAAATAAACAAACTGTTTAGCTTTATAATATTAGTATAGATTACTAGCTACTAGGTTTCTGAACAAATATATCTTCAGAAAAGGACAAAGTGTAGTGTGTCCTTTTTACACATATTTAAACGTCTTTGTCAGATAGAGAAAACATGCGGCGTTGAAAGAAGACAACGAATAACCCATTAGGGTATATTCTATAAGACTTTGATTTATAGGACGACAAAGAACTATCACAACGTCATTTTCCGATGGACATTGGTATCACGGGGCAAGTGATAAGCACCGGAACGTTGATTAATTGCAAAATGGCGAAGACCCATCCGGCGTTCCATTCCGAAATCGACTGTAACCCTGGCGTTGAGTGCAAGTATGATACTGTCTGTACTTTACGAGAATAGTACACATTTAAATATAACACTTTAACGGTGTAAAAGCGAAATATATCGTTCAAAAACCTGATTAGCTGAGTTGAAAATAATTTTCAAATAAGTGCATGTATTAATGATAATTTCAAGTATGATGCTATGAATTACTAAGTATACTTTAATGCTTTAATCTCGGGACAAATTAAAAAAAATTCAGTTCTTCTTTCAATATTCACGATTTTAGAAGATTTAGAGACATTCGGAAAATTTTTTGATTTTATGTCATTTTCTTTCTCTAACCTTCCTCCCCCAATATAATTATTACGAGAATATTCTAGTTTTTATATGGGCTATCGTTGATAAACTAAGTTTGGTTGAAAACATTCAAATAATGCTACTGTATTAATGATAATTTACCACAACTTTAAGGTCGTAGTCTCAAAAAGTTAAAAAAACAGTTTCTTTGTTTCAAGTAACCAAAAGGGAAAGTTTTTCTGAAACATTTTAGATTTTCGTTTGGAACATATTCACTTGGTAAGTGGTATAATGTTAGCATTATCGCTAAATTCCAACGGGTCTTCCGGGTTCGATGTACCAACTTTCTGCACACATGTTAGAGTCCGTTGGAAAGTTACATCGCGTTTTGGTTTCAACCATGGATTCTTCCGGGTCCCGAAAGCCACAATAAAGGTCGAAATTGTCATATTGGTTTCACTGTTATATGGCTTCGGGTGTTTCATCTACCATCAAGTAAATCCCAAGCTTCTCTGTCTGGCTAGCATTAACACATACCAGTTCACAAAATATGAAGTGTGTATTAGACGTTCTTTACCTAACAGCAGCTAGAATAAGCGATATGTTCCTCAGATCAATTTTATGCTTCCCAATACGAGAACAAACGGGAATAATAGGTGTCGGGCAGTTGATTAACAAAATCGGAGATCCGTATTTTGACGCTATGGACGAAGAGATGGCTCTAGCCTTCAGCATCTACTGCGGGGTCTGTATCATGCACTCTGTGGTGTACCAGAAGATCCAGGAAGCTCATATAAGGAATGCCCTTGCCAACGAACTGGTCATGTACCATATGAAGGTAATGTGAATTTGCCTTTGAAAGAAATTGCGTCATCTAAAGTTGTTGCTCGCTTGGAAGAGATTGTTTGTTATCAATAAGATCAGCGTTTTCGTTGTATAATTTTTAGTTTTATTTATAAGTTTTTCATAATGTTAATACCAAATATTGTTGCTGAATAAATAAATGAACTGTACTGTAGTGTACCCGAGCAATATATTTTAACGGTATTAAAACGTAATATATAATTAAAAATATGTTAACTACGGCCCGACGTTTCGGATATTTAGCCAAATATCAACTACGAGGACACAGATGCCGCTAGCGTAGCAGTTTTTACTTTGACATTAGAAATATCCTTCATCTTTAGTCTCCCCGTGATCACGGCTGATGCAAACTAATCCGAAACGTCGGTCTCTAACAGTTAAAATTCGAAATTTCCAAATAAGTTTGAATAATATAAATTTGTTTATAAGTTAAAGTTTGGTGATTCAAAAATCCTCTTCCAGTAGAAACTGGTTTCCAGTAATCAAACCCCAAGTTTCGTATCTACTTTAATTAGCCGGACGTTATAATTGCGAGAGCTTTTACAATATGTGTTTGGAGAGTTATGAATCTCGGGTTATGATTAAAGGTAGGTCATTCAGAGGTTTCTCGTCTATTGGAGTTTGGAATCTCCATAGTCACCAGTCTCCAATTTAATATCTGGGACGTTGACGTCTGGAAAGCTTGGACATCAAATGTATGGAATGTTCGAAGATCTCCGGTTTGGTCATAAGACACGTACGTCTATAAAATCGGGATTTATCGCTATTCGAGTTTGGAATCTCGTAGGAATTCCAATTTTTCTGAAACGATCTTAAATTGTATGTCAACTCGCTATCGCTATCAAAAAAAAACTTTTTGTTTATGTCTGATATTACATTAAACTTAAATAAAATACGTTTCTCCTAACGACATTGGTAATGTTGAATAGGTTTAATATAAAGAAACATAAGCTGGCTCGCTTTATTCTGCACGTGAAGAAGGGCTACCGCGATGTTCCCTACCACAGCTGGCTTCACGCGTTCAACGTTGCGCAGTGGGCCTATGCTGCCTTAATTAACTATAAGCTGATGCAGCAGGGCTATTTAAGGTAAGCGTAAAAATGAAAATGGAAAAATATGCGGAAATTATTATGAATTTTTTTATATTGTTTTAAAATATTATTACTTATGAAATTATCAATGCTTTCAAGGGTCAAGTGGGTATACTTAATATTTCGTCCTTATAGAACTCTAGGTAACGAACTGTATATCTTTTGTATAATGAACTAGCTATGTTAGAACTTCGTTCGCATAGAATAGTTATTTTTGGCATCCAAATTAGTTTTTGCAAACCTCTACATCTTTATAAATTTAAGCTGCCGAAGACATCGGTCGCGTCCCATCGTAAAAGATAGACATATAATCTGTATTTATTATATATGATATTTTGTGTGTGTTGAAATGTTTACGCAGTGTACGATACCAAAACCCACAGAGATGAAAAATTTCTCCCGTTTTGTTCACATTTCCCGCTGTATCTTCCCTTCTATTAGTCAAAGAGCGCTCCCGCTTGCAATCAAACAAACTCTTCAGCTTTATATATTAGCATAGATAGATATTAAAATGCCTACTGTTTTAGTGAACTACAAGGATTAATGTATGTGATAGCTGGTCTTGTTCACGACATGGATCATCGTGGTACGACTAACAGTTTTCAAATACAAGGGCGTAAGTTACCCACTACAACCGATATAATAAATTAAATTGTAATCTTCAAGGGTGTAACCCCGTAGCCCATAATCTTAGTCAAGACCTACAGGCGTAGTGTCAATAAGATGGATCACATTTAAATAAAACACTTTTAACGGTTTAAAACGTAAAATGTATTAGTTAACTTGTTTACAATTCTTTATTAATAACGACCCGTTCGGATGCTTCGTAGCAGCCGTGACTGCTGAAAAGCATAAATTGGAATTCAGGTTATACGCGTTTTGAAACGTTAAAAGTAATAAATATGCCCTACTCGAGTAAACTACAGACAATATTTAGGATGGATCACATCAACCAATGACGCAGTTTAAATTTTCAATTCATTTCAACAGAAACAACATTAGCAGCTCTGTACTCCAGCGAAGGTAGCGTCATGGAGCGCCACCACCTCGCTCAAGCGATGTGCGTGCTCAACACAGAAGGATGCGACATTTTGGAGTCCCTTCCGAGGAGGGATTACGACAGAGCGATTATGACATTACGAGATTATATTCTGGCGACGGACCTCGCTAACTATTTTAAGTAATTTCAGTTATTTGTAAATGTAGAGGCCAGTGGGCGGTCACTTGTATGGGAGCTTTCCAGAGCAACAGCACGGAAAGCTCGAGCCGTATAATCTGTCAACTAAATTTTCATATTGATTTTCGATTTAAAAAAAATGATGTTCTTCAAGTAACAAAAAGTAGGTTTTACTTGTATCTAGAAACTTGAACGAGTTCAGAGCGATTTCTCTGGACTTTCAAAAGGGTAATCGCGGACATACAACTGCTTTGCTGTCACTCCTTATGAATGCTGCTGATCTTAGTGATCAGCTCAAAGATTGGGGATGCATTAAGAAGACGGCTGTGAGTATATAATCTAACTTCAGCATTTGTTTATTGTTTACTGCCTTTTTGGGCTAGTGGTTAGTGAACTTCACTGATGTTCATGAGGCTGGATTCGGATAACAGTCCAGGTGCATTAGACGTGGAAGGGTGTAGGTGGACTGTTCAACGCTTCACGATCACGCTAAGCGCTTGGTCCAAGCTCTAGCTCAGTGACCCTAAGCCAGCCAAGCTGCAGCAGACGCCGATATCCAGCTGTGGGACATTAATAGCTTGCAACAAAATAATGTCCTGAGATTGGATTCTGGGGCAATATAGAGCAAATTTTAGCGGGCTCTTGTAGTATGGTAGCAATGTACGGCAATAAGGGGTCGATCCCCACGGTCCAACATTTTCCTAATTAATTTATAATTCTTCTGAAATATTTGGTCATTAATATTAACCAACGAACCACTGCCAAAGATTTAAAAGCCGTGGAGTTTAATCACGTTTTGGTTTCCAAATATCCAAAAGCCAATATACAGGTAGACAGCGCATTTGTTTAAATGCTGGGGTATATCAACTACAATCAAGTGTCTATCTGGCTGTTTTAGTACAGAATTTAACAGACGTCAATACTGACTGGCGTTAGTTCTAGGTAAGGTGTAAATAGATTTTGATTTTTTTAGGCGGCAGTTTTAAGTGAATTCTTTAAGCAAGGTGACGTGGAAAAGAGTAGAGGCGATTTACCTCCGAGCATTATGGACAGAGAGCGATGTTTCATCCCAGACCTTGAGATTCAGTTTATGACCACCACCTGTATACCTCTTTTTGAGTGAGATATTTTCAGCGATTATAAGTTTTAATCACCTCCGTAAGCACATACGGTCCTGTATTAAATTTGGGCAGGGCACAAAAGTCTGATCAACGCGATCTCTTTATCATTAGTTTAGTAGCTAAGAATTGTATTCCGAAAAAATATCTAGTGCTCTTTGTAATATACATAGATAAATATAACCTAATTTTAATGCATTTAAAAAAAACATGTTAATGTTTGTCAGTAGTTTATGTGAGAAGAACACTTATAACGCGAAATGTATTAGCAGACGCAGTCTCCACTGCCGCTGCAAGCATCCGAATCATCGGACCGTAGTTAAAATTGTAGATTTCGCATTTTAAACAGTTACAAGTGTTTTATAAAATTTGGCAGAATATTATCTCGAATAATACCAAAAGCGACACCGTGTTTGAAGATCATTGAGAACCACATAGAGAGATGGGAAGCCGCCATACCCATTTTTGCAGAGGTAATGTTGAATGATTTTTTATGTACAATATGAGTTGTTTAATAAAATATACTTCACAGGTGCCGATAACAGCTGGTCTGTCTGTCCTACTCAGTCCAGAGTTGGATAACTTGATTGAACAAAATTTGAAAGAGAAAGAGAGGCAACGCCAAGAGGGGATCGAACCGACTGGGGACGAGAACGCTGATTAACTTCAAAGAGTTTCCATCCAAGAGCATTATTATTCATGGCAATACTAACCTCATCTTTGTCAACAAAGAATTTAAATGGACCTAAAATAGTATTGAAGCAACTAGAACTTTTTATATTAAATTATTGTTTAGATAATTTTAACGATTTGAAACGCGTTATAAATTAGTTAACTTTTTTGGTAGTAAAATAATTTCCAAATGAGTTTAACTAATATATATCGCCTTTTAAACCATAAAATTATTTTATTTGAATGTGTACAAATTGCGTAAACTGTAGACAGTATTAAATTATTGTTTTTTGTTTGTGTGGATTAAAATCATGGTACGTATATGTATTTCTATATGATAATAAATATATACTAAATAAAACTATGTATAACATTATTTATTTAATCATTAAAAGTTAATTTTGTATACTTTGGGCGTACATATCACAAAATTTAGTCTTCGATACACACTATCACAGCTGACCTATCATATAACAATATTATAAGCATAAACTGGCTCAATGGAATGCATTTGACATCATGGAGTTTTGTTTCACCTATTTATGGTATCTTGAAAGAATGTATTAATGGCTTCAGCTGCTAAGTATAAAAGATTTACTAATTTACTTAAAAGGCATATATAAATAAATTCTGCTAAATTGACACTTGAAGGTATTCTAAAAATGTCACTTGGACGTGACACTAGCCAATAAGGCCGTTCTTAGTGGGTTGGATTAGTTCGTCAATAAATTCCTTCACCATAGCTTCAAGTTCCGTCTTCTTCGCTTTTTGTGCGCTGAAATGGAAAAATATTCATTAAAAAATATATAATCAACGAGTCGTGGTTTTAATTCCCAACGGGTCCAACACAATTCTAATCAATATCTACATTTTCTGAACCCTGTAGGACTTTCTCTAGAAAATCTGGATATTAAATGGGAGGGATATCGAAATTCCACCATAATCACGAACTGTCCATTTACAAAAAGCCATTATGGGCGTTTCGGATTCAGTCTGTGGATTACAGAAAGTTTAAAGTCCAAAATAGGATATCGTTATCACATATAGTTTTGATTACATATGGCTGGGGTATTACACCTTCCATCAAGTAACCACTATGTTTGTTAAATCTCCTCCGTTATAAAAAAATACATTAACAGCTAAAAAGTAGATTAGAATTCAACTGTCAACACTCACTTGGCCAGTGTGGCTACACCAAAACTTAAATTTTATATTCAATGATTTAATTAAGGCGTAAAACACTGAACCTCAAATCGCAAGTAATAAGGTTGAAATTACATTACATGAGAGGTGCATGTATCAATAGGTTGAAAAATATTCGACGATGATAGGTAGGACATCGTCATCGCTCATTTAGTTAGAGCAACAGCACGGAACGCTGTGGAGTCGTCAGTTCAAGTCCTATCCGTGTCGAAATTTTTTTTTCGTCTAAGATCGATTTTTAATATATTTTTTGTAACTCACTCAACAGTATCTGCCTGACAGACCAACTCAGTATAGTACTTGAGTTTGGGTTCCGTTCCACTCGTGCGCACCGTTACACTCAGACCGTTTGAACATTGAAATGTGATCATTTCACCACTCGTGTATTTCTGGTCTAGACCCGTACCAGACACCTCTGTAATATGAAACATAGATACTAGAAACTAGATATAATAATATAGAATGAGCCACAGATTATAAAAAAAATAGTTGGTCTTAATACTATTAACGACTGTGTTAAATAAAACACTTTAACGTTTAAAACGCAATATATATTAGTAAAAAATATGACGCAGCTGTGGTTACGGGGAGGCGGCTGCTGCAAAGCAACCGAAATATCGGGTCGTAGAAATAATTTCCAAATAAGTTTAATCAATATATATCGCGTTTCAAACCGTTAGTATTTCATTTAAATGTGTACTACTCTCGTAAACTACAGATAGTATTTAATACTGAGTTAATGATTACAATTCGCAAAATATTATTTTTTTTTAAACTTAACAAAGAAAGCACAATAATTACTTATTTTTCCTTCAGTGTCGCTCTCATCGGGAACCTTCACTCCAGCTGTAAAGTCATTTATGAATACCACATCGCATGGACCAACAGTTCGTGGATACTGGAAAGAAAATATAAATCTTTGAAAACATTCATATTTTTCACATGTTAATTGCATTTAAATAAAACACTTTAACGGTTTAAAACGCGATATATTAGTTAAACTTATTTGAAAATTATTTTTAACTTCAGCCCGACGTTTCGCATGCTTTGCAGCAGTTGTGGTCACGGGGAGACTGACTTGTCTCGTTGATCGTTTTAAACCGTTGAAGTGTTTTATTTAAATGTGTACTACTCGCGTAAACTATAGACAGTATTGAACTCAAACATATTAATATAGATAAGAACTTACAACGCCATCTCCATGATAATTCCTAATCCTATCGAATATTCTTTGAGTAATGTTCGGGTCGTGGACTATAAAGTAGCCGTTATGCGACACGTGGTAACCAAATTCACGGTATAACTCTTGGAGCTGGTTACACAGACTTGATCCGCGGGCGTGTAGGTGCGACGCTAAAGAGGCAACCTGCAACATATATATTTTAGCCATGTTATTATTAGATGTTAAAAAGACAATATTTTTATCTCTCTGTCATTTATTATTAAAACGGACGCACAAATGAGTCTGTTTCTTTCCCCATGTATAATGTATTACTTATTAAAGTTCTGTGACAGTGATACGAACTTTCATACATATATTTGTAACTGAGTGAGTAAAATTTAGAAAATGCGTTTTGCTGAATTTTTACTATGTTATATATTGTTAAAAGATCATACCTGGACTGCAGCAGACACGCCATCTTTATCTGGCACAGTGGAACTACACATATAGCCTATCGCCTCTTCAAACGCGAAAATTGGTACTTTGCCTTCTTTCTTTAGCAGTAACGTCGCGTTACCTACGCAGAAAAATAATACTCAGTTAATAATTGTAAAACTGGTATTACTGATTTAAAACCTTTAGAATTAATTTCTGACGCGATGACGATACGATGTTTATAGTTTAATATACTTCTATAAGTTTTACTGAATATTCTTTTAACCTTTCCATATCACCTGTAACCAATGTTTAGGGGGGGGGGGGGGGGGGGGGGGGGGGGGGTTTGGTGGGGTGGGGGGGGGGGGGGGGGGGGGGGGGGGGGGGGGGGGGGGGGGGGGGGGGGGGGGGGGGGGGGGGGGGGGGGGGGGGGGGGGGGGGGGGGGGGGGGGGGGGGGGGGGGGGGGGGTGGGGGGGGGGGGGGGGGGGGGGGGGGGGGGGGGGGGGGGGGGGGGGGGGGGGGGGGGGGGGGGGGGGGGGGGGGGGGGGGGGGGGGGGGGGGGGGGGGGGGGGGGGGGGGGGGGGGGGGGGGGGGGGGGGGGGGGGGGGGGGGGTTTTTTTGTGTGGTTGGGGGGGTGGGGGGGGGGGGGGGGGGGGGGGGGGGGGGGGGGGGGGGGGGGGGGGGGGGGGGGGGGGGGGGGGGGGGGGGGGGGGGGGGGGGGGGGGGGGGGGGGGGGGGGGGGGGGGGGGGGGGGGGGGGGGGGGGGGGGGGGGGGGGGGGGGGGGGGGGGGGGGGGGGGGGGGGGGGGGGGGGGGGGGGGGGGGGGGGGGGGGGGGGGGGGGGGGGGGGGGGGGGGGGGGGGGGGGGGGGGGGGGGGGGGGGGGGGGGGGGGGGGGGGGGGGGGGGGGGGGGGGGGGGGGGGGGTTTTTTTTTGGGGGGGGGGGGGGGGGGGGGGGGGGGGGGGGGGGGGGGGGGGGGGGGGGGGGGGGGGGGGGGGGGGGGGGGGGGGGGGGGTGGGGGGGGGGGGGGGGGGGGGGGGGGGGGGGGGGGGGGGGGGGGGGGGGGGGGGGGGGGGGGGGGGGGGGGGGGGGGGGGGGGGGGGGGGGGGGGGGGGGGGGGGGGGGGGGGGGGGGGGGGGGGGGGGGGGGGGGGGGGGGGGGGGGGGGGGGGGGGGGGGGGGGGGGGGGGGGGGGGGGGGGGGGGGGGGGGGGGGGGGGGGGGGGGTGGGGTGGTTTTTGGGGTTTGGGGGGGGGGGGGGGGGGGGGGGGGGGGGGGGGGGGGGGGGGGGGGGGGGGGGGGGGGGGGGGGGTTGGGGGTTGGGGGGGGGGGGGGGGGGGGGGGGGGGGGGGGGGGGGGGGGGGGGGGGGGGGGGGGGGGGGGGGGGGGGGGGGGGGGGGGGGGGGGGGGGGGGGGGGGGGGGGGGGGGGGGGGGGGGGGGGGGGGGGGGGGGGGGGGGGGGGGGGGGGGGGGGGGGGGGGGGGGGGGGGGGGGGGGGGGGGGGGGGGGGGGGGGGGGGGGGGGGGGGGGTTGTTTTTTTTTGGGGGGGGGGGGGGGGGGGGGGGGGGGGGGGGGGGGGGGGGGGGGGGGGGGGGGGGGGGGGGGGGGGGGTGGGGGTTGGTTTTTTTTGTGGTTGGGGGGGGGGGGGGGGGGGGGGGGGGGGGGGGGGGGGGGGGGGGGGGGGGGGGGGGGGGGGGGGGGGGGGGGGGGGGGGGGGGGGGGGGGGGGGGGGGGGGGGGGGGGGGGGGGGGGGGGGGGGGGGGGGGGGGGGGGGGGGGGGGGGGGGGGGGGGGGGGGGGGGGGGGGGGGGGGGGGGGGGGGGGGGGGGGGGGTTTTGGTTTTTTTTTGGGGGTGGGGGGGGTGGGGGGGGGGGGGGGGGGGGGGGGGGGGGGGGGGGGGGGGGGGTTGGGGGGGGGTTGTTTGGGGGTTTTTTTTTTTGGGGTTTTTGGGGGGGGGGGGGGGGGGGGGGGGGGGGGGGGGGGGGGGGGGGGGGGGGGGGGGGGGGGGGGGGGGGGGGGGGGGGGGGGGGGGGGGGGGGGGGGGGGGGGGGGGGGGGGGGGGGGGGGGGGGGGGGGGGGGGGGGGGGGGGGGGGGGGGGGGGGGGGGGGGGGGGGGGGGGGGGGGGCCGGGGGGGGGGGAAATTTTTTTATTTTTTTGGTTTTTATTGACAGTTCTATAACTTTACTGTGACGATGAACTGAAAGTTCTTAGTTACAGTATAGTATAGTATACAATAAGGAAGTGTTTTTCTGTAAACTAGAATCACTGATAACGTTAAACTCACCCATCCATTTGAATCCAGTAAGAGTTTCAACAAAATGCCCTTTTCCTTTCGATATGGCAGATAACATTTTCGAGCTAACAAAACTAGCGATCATATATACGTCTCCAGTTTTGTCGCGGTGGGTCGAGTGCTGATGGAGAATCCACCAACCCAGTAACGAACCCATCTCGTTACCGGAGAACACTTTCCATGACTTTGAACTGAAAAAAAAAAGATTCGTTTTTTCACGATAGAGAAGAACCTATCAATAGAACATCATTCGATATAAGGAAATCCCGACTGAAACTAAAACGCGATTAAACTTGACCGCTATATCTGTGGAGGGTAGTTCCTTACCCGGACGGAATTTCGGTTCATGTCTTAAAAATATAAATTGATTAGAAGCACGTTGGACCTGGTAGGAATCAAACCCACGACCTGTAGATTATTATACCAACAAACCCGATAGACCATTAGTTTATATATACATTTTGAAGAAATAAGAATGCAATTATTTTTTTTAAATTATATTTATTATATTACTTACTCGTTATCATATTCCGCGACCGCAAGTCTATCAGCATCGGGGTCATTGACCAGTACCAGACATATATTATTCTTTTCAGCGAGTGCTTTGCTCAGCTCCAAGCATTCTTTCTCTTCTGGGTTTGGGAACTTTACTGTTGGGAAATCTGGGTTTGGATCCTGTTGCTCTGGAACACTTATTGGAGTCTGAAAGCATATTAAATTCTCATTTGTTTATTTTTAATACCACAATTGATGCGCTTCTAAGCAACTCTGATGATGATTTTGTTTTTTCAATTGTGGTGAAACGATTGTGTTTAAATGTTTAAAAGATTTTAACGGTTTAAAACGTGCACTATATTAGTTAAAATTATTTTAACTACGGACCGACGTTTCGGATGCTTTGCAGCTGTCGTGGTTTTATGCTTTAATGCTATAATTAATATATTTCGAATATGGTTAAAGAGTTTTATTTAAATGCGTACTCGCGTAAACTACAGACAGTTTTGAAGTGCAAAAACACAGAAAGCTTTTAACACTTTATCTTTTCCTTAACATACCATAAGATTAGCAGCATCAAAAGCCTTCAGCACATAGTCATAACCGACTCCATGCATAGCACTGTAGACAGCGGGCACCTTTGCTACCTTGTTCTGCTCCAGTACATCATCATGTAGACTGGTACGGATGTACTCCATATACTTAGTAGTAACTTCTTCCTGGCAATCTTTCACTAAATTGTGAGCTCGAATCTCATCTACGTTCCAGTGTTCTTCCGGAATCCTAGAAACAACTGCTTAGAAATAAAATTGACAAAGTGATATAATGAAAGAATAGGAAACTAAAGATAAACTTGTTTGTTTACTTTAAGTTAAAAATTAAATAAAACACTTTAACGGTTTAAAACGCGATATGTTAGTTAAACTTATTTGAAAATGATTTTTTAACTTCGACTAAAGATATCGAGTATACTAATAATTATTATGATAGGTAAAGTTCTAGAGACTTTTTAATGACCTACTTTTTAATGCTATTGTCACAAAAGTTTAAAAAAAAACTCTTTTTTTTTTGTTAGTTGTGTTTTCTTTAGATAATATGAAATTTTCGGCGGAAGTTTTTTTATTTTTTTTTCGATTTTTTTTTTCAATGGTCGAAGTCAGCGTTACCGGAGTTTGAACTCCGTGTAGGTATTAATGGCGGGATTTTTAAAACGCCACTAACTCAATTTAAGTATTTTTTGAGATAGTGATGTTTTCATCTAGGGGTGCGAATATGTATATTGTTATATTATTTTAGGGACAAATGTAACACGTCATAAGTCTTCTATATGAATTGGTTTTATATAATTACTTTTTATGTGTTAGCCCCAAGTCCAAAGATAAAGAAAAACCTTACATATATATTTATAAATGTTTAGGAAATAGGTTTTCACTTAAGTAAATTTTTTGCTTAACAATCTTAATCTAAGTATCTCTTAATAATCTGTCTCCGTAGATCAATGGTGACACGTGTTTCTAATTTCGTTTAGCATAAGAAAGGTGTGGGTTCATATCCTTGTTCGATGAAATGTTACAGAATCGATGATATCAATTTTGCACATCTCTTATTGAATGTTATTTTAATCAGATAAGTTTACTCACTCTAAGCACTTCAATATCTCGTCCAGTATATTATCATCATGAGGTGATATAACCTGTGACCCATTACCCCAGTAGACTTTGTAACCATTGTCCTCTTTGGGGTTATGAGACGCCGTCACCATTACCCCAGCAGCTGCACTATACAGTCTGGTCCCAAATGACACCAGAGGTGTAGGGCAAACTGATGAAAACAGGTGGACAGGTATTGATGATGAGATGAATACTTTGGCTGTTAGTTCTGCAAACCTGAAAGCATATTTCATAGTTAGTTGCAAATGGAAAAATAAACAAATTTTAACTTATAAGAATGCCTAAAGTTCTAATTTTTTTTAAAATTCTGAAATATAAGAAAACAAAAGAGTGATACAGAAAGCCATTGATATTTATGGTTGGCAACTTACATACATAGTAGTGTCTAAAAATCGAAAACAAATTGAAAAAAATTTCGACTCGGGTTGGACTCGGTAGATCAATTGGTAGAGCAACAGCACGGAACACTAACGATGCCGGTTCAAGTCCTGCCCGAGTCGAATTTTTTTTCAATTTATTTTCGATTTTTAAATTATATAGCGCAACAACATGTAAAAAATAATACAGTTTTCAAACATACACTATGTTTGAAAACTGTATGATTTTTTATAATATCTTGCATATTTTTCTTTTTTTTTTAGCTCAAATAGCTAAAAAAAAAGAAAAACGTTCCGTTCTCTGAAACTCGATCGAACCGAACGGGGTTCAAATCCAGAAAAACTAAAGTTGGATTTTGGTTGCACAGGGCACTGAGACCTAATCAACTACTTGCCTGTAAATAAAACCTACCAGTGAAACAGACAGTAATGTGGTCACCTTATGGCCAATGGGGGGAAACCCAATTTACACAGGCACATAAAAACACATCCATGTACATATATTACCAATACAATGTATAAGTGCTACTATAACAACTAAGCTTCCTTATCTTAATAAATATTATTACAAAGATTTTATTATTGTTATTACATCATTGCTTAGATAAATACGGATTGAGATAAATACGTGAAGCATATCAATCTATTATTCTTAAAAATGTGTTACGAATCCCAAAGAGATTGCTTGTCATCAATAAGGCCGGCATTTCATAATATTATTTTTTTAATAGTCTCAACAAATAGAAAAGTAAAAGTATTAACCAATATCTTTCTAATTATTCAACAAAACAGAATAAACAACATGGTAAAGATTTGACCATTTTGTTTGGCAAAGGACTAGTTATATCGGAACATATAATAAACTACTGAGATATTAAATATAGACCTTTTACTGTTATATCTGCCATCAAATCCGACTACAACACCATTTCTCAATTGATTCATTGTGCATACTTTTCTTATGTATGAACATAACCCCTGAAACAAATAATATTTATTAACATTAGTACAGTAGTTCTAACACTAAAAGAAGTTCTAATACAGCCGAAGATTCTAGGACTGACACAGAAGAAAGACGGTAGCTGGCGGTCACAAAAGAACGAACAGCTGGAAAAGCTGTTTGCCGCCCCTAACATAATGAAAGAAGCTCGAGCTCAAAGACTCCGTTGGCCCAGCCTTTACTACTTTCAGGCTATTATTTATACTCGCTACATATAGTGTATGTGTATGTAACTAGAACTGTAAAGTCTGTCAACTATTATGATTTTTTTCATAAATTTATATTAATGCCTTATATTTATAAGGCATTAATATAACTGAGCTTATAATCAAATCAAATCAAAAATCATTTATTTATATTGGTTCACTCATGACAGTCAATACATTTAAAAATTGAAAACTTTACTTTTAAAAATATATTTACTAGTAATTATAATACCCTTTATACTAACCTGTGCTGTCTGCAGAACGACAACATCATTCATGCACATGTACCCTGCACCCATACAGCCACGGAGACCAGCTGTGCCAAATTTCTGTCGTGTCAACATTGTCTTCTTCAGTTTGTCCCATTTTGAGTTTGCTATGTCGTCAAGAACTTCTTGATGAGTTGTAGAATTCTAAAAAATATTATTGTTATGAAAAATAGTAACCCCAAAAAAAATTAAAAAAAGTTATGACACACGCAGGACTTGAACCGGCATCGTCAGCGTTCCATACTGTTGCTCTAATCAATTGAGCTATAGTGTCCTACATGTCATGGACTTTCTTATTGATACATGCACAGTAATTTTTTTTAATGTCGTAAATTTTTTAAACTTTTAATTGATTCATATAGTGCCATCGTGTGCAATTAAGAGATTTCAAAGAGTACTTTAATATGTAGTAACAAATGGAATGATCATAATTTTTCTGAATGTGAATTTAATTTTAATTAAGAAAATGAATACATAAATAACAATAACTGTAAATGTATATAAACTGATAGAATACGTAATGATAAAGATGGTGCCATTTACTTAACAAATATCGTTTTATTTAAATACAAACCTTGTCTAGTTTTAGCCAGTTTTCCAAAACACTATCTAACTTTGGATCACCACTATTTGACGTCATAATTGTAGAAGGTTCCTGCTACAATGAATGCACAGCGTCTTGTCGCACAAAGACAGAAATGAGTATTAATTTGAGAATTTAGTAGCGCAATCGCCAGGTCAAATTGCCATTTCAGTTTATCGATATCAGCATAACCTTGAATTTTAAATACTTTCTTGTAAACCTTAACAATGTCAAAGTTAATAATTAATTTATATAATTTAACTTGAATTCTTTGAAAATTGTAGATACTTATTAGTTTTCTTTTTTATATAAATAAAAGACCCGCTTTAATTTTAATTAAAAATTTATGTTTTATTTGTGAGCGATTCTGTTTTTGGCAATCGACTGTCACACTTTGTTATTGACATTTTTAATATGTCAAACGTCAGATACAATATGATTTTTGTAATGTCATCTGACACCAAGATGTCTTTTCTAACTCATACTAATAAAACCGAAACATTTTGCTGTCTTTACACATAAAATATTTTTGCACGAGTATTACTTTGAGCCATTTTAAAATACAAATGTGTTATGATAAAAGCATGCTATTTTAAACAAACGATTAATAACTAGAGTATTTTAAAAACATTAATATTTTTCACATGTTATTGCACATGAAGGCATTATACAATTTAAAAATCGAAAATAAATTGAAAAAATATTTTCAATTGATAGAGCAACAGCACGGAACGCTGACGATGCCGGTTCAAGTCCTGCCCGAGTGGAATTTTTTTTCTATTTATTTTCGATTTTTAGAGTACTTTATTGAAAAAGAAAGGTCACAGCTGTTTCGTTTATTTTGCCCCAATGTTTTGTGGGAGGCCCCTTTGTGTCGTAATTTTTGTATCAATGACTTAATTGTTCACTTTTTTATAGCTCGTTAATCTTTGAAAACTGGCGTTGAGCATAACTTCCGGACGTGACTACCCTACAAAATGCTCTGAATATCCAAAGCAAGAATAAGTCACATTTTATATAGGGCAAGAGTATTTTATTAATTCAACCCCATCTTCCTCTTGCCCTGTCTGCCATTAAAAAGGCGGCCGGAAAATAATTATATTTCGGCAAATATTTTCATTACTCATATTTCATTGTTAAACGTAACCTGAACGCCAGGGTCACACTGATTAGGAAGTTGATTTTCCAATCAGTGGCCAATCATTTAATTGTAATTGCAACACCGGAACCGACCACTCCACGCCCCTGGGGTTGCCCCTTCGACGTCCGTCGCTTTTAATTTGTTATGAGTACATGTTCTTTTAGTTGTGTTTCAGGAATACTTCGCTAACTTTTTCGCGTATAAACAATTTCCTATAATTACTCTATACGCCTTATTCAAAAGTCTGCAGTAGTTACCAAAAGTGTTGTTAGACAACAAAGGTAGACATACAAAACGACTTACTTTTTAAACACACATGAACTAGTTAAAATGGCATAAATAGTTTGTACGCACGTATATTTCAGTTCACGCTAGTTACACAAAATTAAAATACTGTAGGTGTTTTTGCAAAAAAATACATCTTTATTGGCTTAGGGTTTTTTGAAATATGTCGGACTAAATAAATTTGCGAAGACACACATTCATATTTCGAAATATACATAGACATTAAATTAAAGAAATTACATAAACAATACCAAAGTGGTTTATTTTATACTATTATTACCCCACTGATGGGCTCATGATTGCTCTCTCAGAAGAGGGAGATTTTAAAGGATTTAAACCCACCACGCTTCCTCAGTGCGGGTAGGCGGACTTCAACGTCTGTTGCCACTAAATTAGAGATGTTAACCAGGATCGTCGGATTAACGCGTTTTCCGATGCAAGGTGGTGTACTGACTTCCTGCCTTTAAACTCCGAGCTAATACTACGAAAATTTATGAAAATAAACAACAAGTTTTTTAAGAACATTTCTCCAAACCGGGGTTTCCAACCCCTGTGAACATATCGCGTAAGTACGTATCACCTTTGTAAGTTCACTAACCACTAGACCAATGGGGCAATTGTTCAAGGGCAGACGTGATAAGTCCTTTAATAATCTATAATATGATAAAAATATTTTTGTTAGTCAACAAAATCCCATAAATGTACCATGACACACTTAGTACCTTTATTATCTATGTTTATAGCTAACACGTTAATGAGTGAATATCCAGCCGTCACAAGGTTTCATAATATTTATTGTGTGTGTGTGTGTGTTTTTCAATACCACTTGAAACATAATCAAACACAAAATTAATAATTCTTTCTCGTTGTTTCCACCCCTATTAGTAACGGATGTTTCAAATAGAATATCTCTAAAATAACACAAAAATATTTTTTTCGAACCAGGTAGTTCCCGAGATAAAAGCGTTCAAACAAACGAACAACCTCTTCGTTTATAGTATTAGTTTTGGACGAATGCACGCAATAAAATTCTTTCTAACAAGGTTATTGATTGATTTAGGTTTTATTAATATATAGATTGGCCTCCCTTGCATCTATCATGCAAAGTACTTGAAGTCAAGTATTTTTATAAATAAAAGTGAATCTGGCAGGCGCTAGCGAACCGGTCAGTTTGAGACTACATCGATCGCTATTAAGTGGCAAAATACAATACGGAGATTATAAAATAAATCTATTTATTTCGAAAAATACATTTATTCTGTGAAAAATGGGTGGCGATAGAGGTGGCTTGGCATCCGTGGAGTTTGAAGTTTTTGGAGAAGTGCAAGGTAAAAAAAACATCGCTTTTGCGTCTTATATATATTTTTATAGAAGTTCAATTTGTTTCTGTCAAAGTTACTACCTCAGATATACCTCAGATAGATTATCATTCTAACATCTTCAGAAATATACAAAACATACTCAAGTTATTGTTAGTTTAAAAAAAATGTTCAATCGCAGTAAACAATATATCTTTCTTATATAATATATTTGCATCGATCAAAACAAAGTTACCTACTACCGCTACTGAATAATTAACTTCGTATGATAGTATGTGCCTTGTCGTTTGCTAAGCTTTCAGTTAATCCCATCCAGTAAATCGAAAAAGTCACTTTTTTCAATTTTCTAAAGCAGAAAAGAGGAATTAAACATAACATATATGTCGTAACATTTTAACGGTTTAAAACCGCGATATATTTTAAGATTTAGTACATAATATTTATTTAATCGGTGTCACTTTCATTTTCCCATGCGTGTTAAAGAACTTTGATAGATAGAAAAAGTTAATTTGAATAATTTTCAATAAGAAAGATTGATTATATTTCGAGTGTAGCTTACTGTGTTGTTTTGATAGAGATAAATAATTCCTGTTTGTTTGGTTTGATCACAAATTATCTAAATAGTAATGTCTTTTAGCAAGCACTTCAGCCTTACAAAAGCAAAGAGACGAATTCATTGTGGCACAAGCACAGATTATTAAATAAAACACTTTAACGGTTTAAAACGCGATATATTAGTTAAACTTATTTGAAAATTATTTTTAACTTCGGCCCGACGTTTCGGATGCTTTGCAGCAGCCGTGGTCACGGGGAGACAGATTATGTTAAAACTTAAATAATGATACCATAAAAGTGTAAATATACATTTTTCAGTTGGATAAATTTCTGTTATATTAAGGAAGTAGGTAAAATGTTGAGGTGATTTTATAGACTAATCTACAGAGATTAGTCTATAAAATCACCATGTATGTAATAAAAAAATCATTTTGTATTTGTTCCACAATTCGGGCCAAACTCTACATGTTTAATAATCGCTAACTTTCTTCTTACACAAGAATAAATAGATATCGTCCGAAACAATAAATAGATTCAATTCAATGAAAGATTTGGCCAGTGTATCAGGGTTAAAAGCATCATTCGTCTGTAAGACATTACGCACATATCTGTCGTAATAACTGATTCGATTTATGTCTTCTTTAATCTTCCAAGCGGAGCATTGAAAGACGGTCAAAAAATAATTTGTTTATTCATGATTAATTGATGATACGTCATAAATAGTTAGACAACTGTAATATTTTTTTACGTGACGCACAATAATTATATAAATTAAAAATCGACTTAAGATTAAATTAAGGAAGTAAAAAATAACTATATCATTTAATATAGAAAAAAAAGTCATGTAAGGATGTGAAATTTTATTAAGAACTAGGCTCATTTAACTTATATTTAAGTACATATATAGAACAAATTTTATGAATTCATGCAAGTAGGGCGACTCTTAGAAACTTTTGTATAGTATATAATTCAGAATTTGACGAATGAGTAACAATGTATTTTAAATATTTATTTAATTAACAGGTTGCTTTTTCACGAAATACTGTAAGCAGACGGCTGAAGAGTTGAGAATAGGTGGTTGGGTGAAGAACACCAAGAACGGAACCATTGTTGGAAGGATACAAGGAACTCGGGAGAATTTAGACAAAATGTTAGTATATAAAAACACATACATGTTGTTATCCTTTTGACCATATTTAATTATATCGCTATTTAAATTCTCTAATTCTGGGATATGGGACATTCGTAGCTGAAATGAATTTTATCACGGTTTGGTCAGTAGGTAGAGTACAGTTTACTGTTGATCGTGGGTTCGAAACCTAATAATGCTATCGATATAGTCTTTATAAAACTTTTTCAAGACCAACCTTGCTTCGTATCAATCTTTGTAGAGTCTCCCTATAATTATATCCGCCGGTTGGGCTCCTGCCAGTTCCGTGTTTGTCGATCCAATTAGTTCCTTGTCAACACATCAATGCCAGCTATTGTTCTTCATTGTAAATAAATTATTATCAACAATAACTCTTATCTCATGAATTAAGTCTGCTCTGGCAGCAAAAGCAATAACTTAGTCTTCATATACTATAGTACTATTAGTAGTGACCGTTAAAAGACACACTTTCAACGGTTTAAAACGCGAATAGAGAATGAATTTAACTACGACCCGACGCTTTAGATGTTTTACAGCCGTTACATGTTTCGTTGAGGTTAATTTTAGATTTTTAATATTATTTATCGTTCTTTATTTCAAAACTAGGCGAAAAATATAATAAGTTTTATAATATACATGTGTCACATAAGAACTTTTTGCTAGTGACAGCTCTAGTCTAATTATTTCAATATATTAAATAAATCATATTTCAATTATAAAAACACTTAAAAATTTCTTGATTGGTTTCTTTTGCAGGATAGACTGGTTGAGCACAAAAGGATCGCCGGACAGTAAAATCGAGAGATGTCAACTGTCAAACTTTGAATACATTGCGAGATTGGCATTTAATAACTTTAGCATACGGTTTTAATAAAGTCTTTATTCAATTACGCCTTTTAATTTAAAACTTGCAAGATGCAAACAGGTGTTCAAAATCTCGTCCGGGTTGGATTTCCTAATATCCAAATCTAAATAAAATAGGTCGACAGTGCATTTTGCTTATCTATCCTCGTCTATCATTAAAAAAAATAGTTTAATTATGCAAAACCTTAAATAAACATAAGCACAAACCTAAAAGCAAGTGCACTCTGGTGCTAAAACTAGTTCACAAAATAAGGATTCTGAAATAAATACTAACGACAATTATTTACTTCATAATGCTCTCTACATTGAGGACGTATTCCATTGATAAAACGGACAATGAATGATAGATAACTGTCAACAGATTGTCAGAAGAATTATTGTATCGTTACATCATTTCAAAGTTACGTTGCTTTGAAATGATAAAACGATACAATAATTTCTGAATTATAATCACAATCAAAAGTTTGTGGACCCCTGGGTCCTATTTGTGTAAGGTTAACATATTTGGGAACATAAGTTTAATATGTAGTTTACGTGAGTAGTACACATTTAAATAGAACACTTAAAATAAAGCATTTTACAGACCACGACTCCGAAACGGCGGGCCAAAGTTGAAAATAATTTTCAAATAAGTTTAACTAATACATATTGCGTTTTGAATCGTAAAAGTGTTTTATTTCAACATAAGTTTAATATATGAATACTCATCTGTAAAGAGTGAATCTAGCATTGTTTTTCGATTTTCGATGAACAATCTGTCATTTGCCAGTGTCGAGCACACAAAACCATCAAGTATTGTCAGTAGTTTACGCGAGAAGTACACAGTTAAATAAAACACTTTAAAAAATATTTATGCTGTAACTTATTTTTAATTTTTTCAAATCGACGATCAAATTACATTAAATTATATATTTCACGTTTTATCGCCTAGATTTATAAGAGCAAGGTTTAAAAATGAAATGAAAGAAAGTACAAGTACCTGCTCGTATTAACAGAATAATCGATATTTATTAGTTTTTTTTTATTAAATTATAATATAATAAAGTATGTCCCACTCTTTGTTTGTCCGTATTATACAATGAGAGATTGCAGTAACTTCTTTATGTAAAGCACACAGTACAGTAAACAAAATAAAAATCAAGATAATATGAATTATTTTATTAGATTCATAGAATAAAAACATCATATGTACATAAGCCTAAGACCTATTGTTTATTATACAAATGGAATGATCTCGAAGTCTGACTTAGGATAACAATTCACTCTCAAACTTAACGTTTAGTATATAAAAATACGGTAAGGCTTACACTTACATTTGTAAAACTGCAAGGCGTTAATATAATTATATAAAATGTGTAAAAATATTTCTTTGGATCTCTACAAACATCACATATGCATTTGTAAACAGTATAATACTAAAAGATAATAGGAAATCTCTATATATTCGTTACTCTACATTTAAATGCATTCATTTTACGTCTACAGTACGTATAAATTTACATAGCCTTAATCTACAAACGAAAGCGAAGTTAAACATTTTTAAATTTTGCTTTGATATTAAAAAAACGAGTACAGATTTTTCGATAGCAAAAAACCTTGATACATTGTTTTGTTTACTAAACTATCAAAGACGCCGAATTATAATATATGTTGAACCAGGTGGCTTGTTATTACAAAAATGTTAAATTCGTGATTCGATTTAAAAATATCGACATTATCGTATTTACATATTATATGCCTATTTGTAACTGTGAACAACATATATAAAAATGCGAATCTTTAATTTAACAAGAGCACGAACGTGCTTTAAAAGGCCTCTGTTATCACATTTTTTAATAAATACATGTATGTATCTCGGTTACTTTATAATTCATAGAAGGTAAGAAAATAGACTCAGTGGCTCTAGTATTAAATCGTATCTAAAGTATAAAATCTCAAAAGCTTTCAATTTAGGAATCTCAGCGTAAAAAAAATAAATACGTCGCGGCGCGAGCGTCGATAATTCCGCCATTTTGTCTAACAAAACCTATTTAGAACATTCTAGACCTTTTCCTCTGGCGTTTGAAGAGGTACGCTGGCTTCTTCAAGCTTCCTCGTCGCCGCATCTATTGTTTTATGTCTCTTCCTTGATCTTTCTTTGTGCAAGAACAGCCTGAGGTAGTGGCAGGGGAATATGACACAGTCCCCTGCCGGTTCTTCGGCGTCTATGTATACTCCTCGGACCAGGATTGAGTTGGAGCAGTTCAATACGATGAGGAGAGCAAGACTGACGATGTGGCAAGACCAGTTGCTGAGTAAGGGTGATTCTGTGGGTATAGTGGGAGCGTGTTGAAATAATTGCTATACAATTTGAAAGAATAAATATACATATATGACTTCTGAGGATATATTTATTCTTTGTTTAATTTAATTAGGACCTTTACATTTCTAAAAATGTCGTTTCTCACCGTCAAAAGTGTTTTATTGTTTATGCATAGATACAATTATTTATATTCGTAATTCATAAAAATAGAATAGAATACCTAGCAAAAGGTTGTAACCGTCCCGGTGTACCTATATTTATGTTTTCATTAAATGTAATAAAATTACGTCTTTAAACAAATAACAAATATTTTTTCCAAATTCACTAAACATGAAACCTGCTTCTTTTATGAACAAGGTACAAATATCTAGAATATAAAACATTTTAACGGTTTAAAACAGGTTGACAACAGAAGTTGCAGACAAAACTTTAAGTTTTAATATTTAAACTTTCTCTTTTTAATCGAATTTAATTTGACTGTTTTAAAGTAGTACCTGGAAACAAATAAATATCCAGAAGACCCCAAACCCCTCGCCACACGTTGACCGTGGAGGCGAACGACAGCAAGTGGTAGACGTCGGCTAACAACAGCCGCGGAGCGCCCTGAAGCCTCGCTACCATCCATCGCATTGGGGCTTGCAGCGAGAAAGTTATCACCACCATACAATAACCCACTATCTGTTGACAAAGTGTAGAAAATTATAATTAATAACAATACATATTGTTTCTCTTAAACAAAAATGGTAGCAATCTACGGGTGATAATCAACGGTTCGTCGTTTTGAGGGGCCAACATTTTTCTAATCGATATATAATTTTATCTGAAAAATATCGGAGTTCTTCTGGTATTAAATCTGAATATTAAATGGGTGGTAGGAATGTTGGATTTCCGTCCAGGTCACGAACCACCGTCCACAGATGAATAAGTTTAATCACGTTCTGGTTTCAGTATGTGGATATCCGAATATCCAAAGCCCAAATAGGTTGACAACACATCTTGTTTAGATGCTATAGGCTGGGGTATTTCACTTACCATCAACACCATGCTTGCCTATCCTCTATCATAAAAAAAATGACGACACAGATGCATACACACAGACACATAACTTGGCGGAAGTTAAGATCGACAATGACTTCTTTCAAGAAATACAAGACAGCGCAGTGTAAGTAAATATTTTGAATGCAGTTATTTCCATAAACAAACATTCAAAAATAGAACGTGCGACATAAACAAAGCGAATCTAGTTACGGCGCCTACAGTAAGCCTTATCAACGCTATCTACTTATTACATGGATGAACTATAAGCCGCGTAAATAACTTAAAACTTTAATTATTATATTTGTAAATAGACGTCTGTTTGACGTGCGATGGAAACACCCGCGTGATACCCGTTATCTGGAGGAGAGCGCCCTATTTTAATTATAATTTTCCGTTGAAAGTTTCCGCGGTGGCCGCTTGTTTTTCGAGCGTCCTTTGTGACCTAAATATATTTGCTTCTGCCTGCGGTACGTAGGAGTGGAAAATATTTAAAAGACATATCTTTTATAATGCAAAACGCACGCGCACGCGCACAAGTACGATGCGATATTCTACATATGAGACTCTTGTAAAGCAATTTGTATCAGTGACTTTTGAGAGCTTTTAAGAAGTTCACACGAGAATGTTTTAAATATTTAAACAGCGCATATAACTATGAAGACGTTTTATCATTCTTCAATAAGGTTCATTCGCACTTATTAACCTTTATGTAAACAAATAGGTTCTTTATTAGAAAGCTTTTAAAATCAAAATTGCTGTTTAAACTTTCAATATTTTTCACATATTATTGCGCATGATGGCATTGTATAAATTAAAAATCGTTTTTAGATTGAAAATGCGGTTAGGATTTGAATAGCCAGACATAATTGCATGTTTTCTCTATTATTTGTATCGTACTCTTAAAGTATTTCCTTATTTTTTAAGGTAAAACTGTATAGTATAATGACATAGATAAATTTGACAGTATCGTTATCCAAATAGAATTATCTAAAATGGCCGATTACATGGTAATTTCCCTGGTATATTTTGCAACGCCATTGAAAGAATTTGGCATATTGATAAAAGGCGATAAGCTCGTTAGCTTTCAGGTAAGCCTAATTGTAATTTTTGTCTTTTAAACAACGGTCGATCATTTATTACTTTAACAAGATCGTATGAAATGTATGTTGTCATGCATAATGTCAAATGTCTGTTTTCCCGTATCGGGCATTAGACGAACAAGTATCAACATTATAAAATTCAAATTTACAACGCCACAATTAACGCCATTTGTCGCGGCTTCAAGTTCAGTCAGATACAGCTCATTTTCAAATTAAGGGTGTGTGACTTGACCACTACTATCCTGGCGTATTATTGTCTAAACGATTTCTTTAATGACAAGACCGCCTGGCAGTCATATGAATTGCTCCTTAGGTATAATGAATTCACAATGTATTAGTTTATAAGACAAGCTGGACTGAGTTTTTTGGGTGTTCTTCTCAGTTATGTTGCTCTTTTGAACACTCTGTAGAATCACGACGAACAGACAGACAAACAAATTTTTTTTTACGAATCTAAATAATTTTTAAAATTTTAAAGAGAATAAAGTGTATTTTATTTTTTTGTATTTTTACAGAAATAACCACGATTACCTAGGTTGGTTAATAACCGGAGCGAAGCTAAAAATAAGAGTATTATCCAATTATTGTGAATAAGGAAATGAGAAAATAAGGTAATGCGAGTGGTTACAGCCGGTTTCACTGTATTTCTTCTGCCCACGTGGATCGCCAATGTCACTGCTAAGGACTTATGTCATTGCCAATTAGCTTACGCTATTACGACTAGCTCAAATCCCCGGGAAACATGACGGATTACTTTTTAGTACTTGTCGTTAGTCTTAGCACATCGGGTTTTTTAAATATAGGTAAAGTCGTTTTAGATTTCGATTTTATTCGAATAGACCATCAGGTGTTCACTTGATAGGGGGTGAAATACTGAATTGCGATTCGGCGTTTTAAACCGTTAAAGGGATTTATACTCGCGTAATCTACAGACAGTATTTAAAATGGAGCATTTTGAAACGAATTTAAGGAAATTGTAGTGTTAAGGTCAATGACCTCGAGTTTCGTCTTTAAGACCATACTAGGTTTTATTTTTTTTTATTTACTTCCATTACATTACGCGCATCGATTGAATACCAGAGAAGAAAAATGTCTTCTTTTCGGTCGGGTACAAGTAATCTACCTACAACCTACCTACTTGCTATATAAAATAACGTATAAACGGGCACAAAAGGGTCCTCTTTTGTGTCCGTTTGCTTTGAGATTAAAAATTTGCTTTTATAATTAGACCATTTAAATCAGAAGTTGGTAAAGCGTAGAAGCGCGAGGGCAAAGAGAGGAAACGCCAATTGCGCTCTAAGTGGTCACTGACTCAACGGCGAACATATGACCCATATGCGGAAAAATATCTATTTCTCAAACGTGCTTGCAAATTGGGCATTATTTTGACCACCTTCCCCACCAAAATCGAACTTGCTGTACCGGTCGAGCAACGGCCGGCAACAGTTGTATGAAAATCCATGTCTGCCGTGTTTAGCGGCCAAATAAATTACTATGAAAATCTACAAATGGCCACCAAAGAGGAAATTATCAAAGGTTAAATTTAAATATCGAACTGGCTTGCATCTAGAAAGGCATTTGGTTAAAAAAAAATGGCGCGCAAAAAACTATTGTCATTGTTGTTCGTCAACTTCGTCATTGGTTTTACAATTCTTGCGAATAATTTTAGTAACATACTTTACAAGCCTTGGCCTAAGGCATTGTAAAGTATGTTACTACACGTTCGTCCACCAATGCCTCTCTTGCCGCTGTAGTAAATTACTACTGTGTAGCGTCTGATGTTACTAGTAACCGTAACCAAGGGCTTAGGTCAATAAAGAGGCAAACGCTAAAACCTTATCAACTACTTGTATTTATGTAATAATAGTGGTCAAGTCTATTAGGAAGTGATGTTTAACTCGGAAAAATTCGCACCATCCTATTGTGATCCAATTGGAATGAAAAATATCCGCGTCTTTATTACTATTGTTGTTGAATTGCTATTGTGTTTCGTATTGACGGCGTTAAGTAGTTTATTGAATAGGCTGTCGATTATATAAGAGGATAATGTTTCCATCCATCTTACTTCTATTCTATTTATATCCACTTATTTATTTACTCGTTGTTCTAATAGTTGCAATATATTGTTTTGTATCACCCAGTTGTGGTTCGATTACCGTACTGTGACCTACATGTTTTTAAGATCAATTTATAATGTCAAGTTCATCTGCAAAATTAATTGGGTGGTAGGAATGTCGAAATTCAGCAACACAAACTATCGCCACAAATAAAAATGCTGTTAAGTGTACGTACCAAATTTGTTTGTGGGCTTATCTTAAGCCAAAATATATGGACGACGCATCTTGTTTAGATAAAAGCTAATATATTACATCTTCCAAGAAGTAAATCCGATATTTATCTGTCCTCCTCTGTCATTTAAAATTTATTTAAACGTCTTTACATTTCTCCTTCTTTGCCTTAACATTGTGTAAGTGTGATCTGGTTTAATAATTTGAATGCTCATATCATAATTTAAGTTGAAATTATAAAGTCTACTTACTAGTGATGTCCAGCAGGATTTCACAGGATCGTCCGGGTAAAGGAATATGTCAATGAGCGCCCATAGACCTCTCCAAACAAACACAACCAGCGAACCCACCACGGTCACAGAGAACACGCAGTCTAAAATATAGAGGGCGGTGTCTTTGCTACTCTGTAACAAGATATAATTAAATTAATGACGTGTTGAAGATTAAGAATGATATTTAAATTTTGTTAAACAAATTTATAACTTTTTGGTGTTTACAAAAACAGTTTTGTAAACATTCCTTATTTCATTAAGTAGTGAGTCTTTTTGATTTTAGGCTATCTAACTGGATTAAAACATCTTATTATTTTTTGTATAAGTGTTTGCATGATAGATCCTATATTTATTCATATGAAAATAAAAATACGAATTTAGCATATTTAAAAAAATGCTAATAACAATACCTTGGTTAAAAAACAAATGCATATTTATTATAAATGAAAACAATAACGAAAATAATAATCTCTTGCTTAAGTTTCGTTTATTAATGATAATATTTACTCAGAGATTTAATTATCTTTCGCTACTTTAATGTTAATGTATTTAAGAAATCAGTAAATAATTTAACAACAGCGTGATAAAAATTTAAGATATATTATTAAGGGATTTAGGTATCTAGTAATTGCACGAAATTTGATAAGAGTGTGTAAAAGTGATTACAGGATAGAAATCTCTTTATAATTAGAATATTGTAATCGTATAAAATAAACAATGATTTAATATCACTGTGAGATTTTGAGATAACTTCTCTTCTAAGTATCTACTATCTTTTCCCGTTTTAATTTTAAAGTCATAGTTATAATAAACCACGATGGCAAGAGATTTAATACATATCTATATACAAAATGGCCACTTGCATTCGTGTATTTTAAGTAACCAAAAAATATCTGATAGATATTGAATAATAGAAATTCCAATTTTAACTAAAGGTATGTTTAAAATACTTTTTTACTAAAGAAAATGGCTGACTGGTTAACTGATTACCAGCACACAGGTGACCTGCTAAAGACGGTAAAAGTCGAGACTTTGAAGGTATATACATTATTTTATAGCGTACACGATCATTAAGATATTCTTTATAACGCTTAAATTAGAAAAGGGAACTTTATGTGCGATCATCTAATTCTTTATAAGAATAAATTTGTTTCGAAATTCTATTATATAAACAGAAAGTCATTCGTGGGGCGTCTCAATTTAGTGCGTATTAATAATTTACAGAAAATTGTTTTCAATGGAAACACGGAGCGGATACATTATTGTATCAGTTTCAATAATAATGATTTTAATCAAGTGAATTCTAGAAAAATTATCATCGAGGATTCAAACTTGGATAAACCAAGCTTAACGCATGGCAAGGCGTTTAACCAATGAGCTATGGAGGCATTTACAAAACAAAATGTTTAATCAATTTCCTTACTAGAGACTTATAAATGCGATTATCAATTTCTTCGTCGAATAATCCGAAGTAGCTTATCAGTGTTGTGATAAGAGATATTTCCTAATGCACTCAACTATTATTAGATAAAATTTAACCTGAATACGATTTTCAATTGTCTTATTATTCGCTTTCAGTGGAGCCAAATCAAAGTATACTGTATGTTGTTTTTTTCTTTATTTTGGCGAAATTTATTTTTAAGCACAAAGTTCGGATTATTTGCAACAGCTATGGTCACAGGGAACTTTACTCTCTTTTGCTGTTGTGGTTTCTCGTTAAACGTATTTTTTATTTTTTATTCGATGCTTTTTGATTTCTTAAAGGGGAATATATTAGTCAAAGTTAAATCTAAAAAAGTAAAATTATTATCAGTACAGAATCACGTATTTATATAAAACCAAACAATCATACATATAACATGAATATAATATAGGTAAGATATATTCGCAAAATTTATTACCACAGGAGCCTTTTGCCTCTCGCTACGAAAGTGCTACGGTCTACGCCGCATCTACGCACGCGCTACGAAAATCGTCACGCGTTATCGTTAAATAAATATCGTTATGCAAGGAATTGTTTAAACAAATCATTAAAGGTTAATAATTTCCTACCGTTCTGAAAAATGTTGGTGCGTCGAAGTATCCTTCGTCTGCATCTATGGCTACACTGTACGGCGCCGACTCAACATTCCTCAATCCCTTCAAGCAAATCAAAGCTATCGTGGACGCGACTGTAGTGACTGCCGTACTGTACGCATCCTCCTGGAATACTTCCAGGATATTCCAAACACCACGACACGCCGCCACATTAATTATACCGGCTATATAGTTATATACGCGGGTCGTTATAAAGAACTTTGCTCTCCCAATTTCAGCTGTCAGCCGCTTGCAACAGTACTCCTGGAAGACGCACAGCATCAGACCAAAGACTACTCCAATCATTGTCGTCACTATAGCACTTAGGAGTGGATCGTCTGGGTAGATGTATATGTCCATCAGATGCCATGTTGCCAGCCAGTAGATGATAACGAGCGGTCCGGCTATAGACGTAGTAAATAATATATCGATGTATTCTATAAATCCGGAGTATCGCTCTGGATCGAGCGTGGAGTTGATAAGTAGAATGCTATCGCGCATTTCGCTAGTGAGACTGAGCGTGTTCAGAAAATCATATCTCGGCTGCGCGATTATTTCACGATGATTTCCTCTGATAATCGGTGTATCGAATAGTTGAACATCAAAGAGCGCGCGTGTCGCCTCCACATCCCGTTGTTTACAACTAATATTCGCGTGGCCGCGTGCGCTTTGTATATACGTGGGCGTAATAAAAATTATTTGCGAAGAAAGCCTCGCTAACCCCAGGGATTAGATGACGTCACGGTACCTACGTGTTGAAAGTCACACGCGAATCTTAAATGTGTTTATTTGCGACGGCGAGTTATTTCTTAGCACGATGACGGTTTAAACCCAAATAATATTGCCAACCTCAGTCTTGTGTATTTCGGTATTTGAACCGCTAAAATAAAGAAATGAATCGACCGTGGATCCATCGACGTAATGACTTCGTCCAAAATAAGTTAATTTAAATAAAATATTGCAAATCAATTATGGCAAATCTGTGCTGTAACTTCAATATGGACTAAAAACTGTAAAGACACGGGCGGGCCTCATATCCACGTTACAACAATCTGTAAGGAGTATCGTTCTCTGGTCGTCAACATTGCACAAAATATTTATCAAGGTTATGTTTTATTAATAATAACGTTCGTGTGTATAATAGATAAAGTAAAAATTACTGGCACATATGTTTTTTTAATTGAATGAGGAGACATACAAATACGGGGTCCATTTAATGAAAGTTGAAATACCATGGCCATATAAAATCCTGATAAGATCAAAAACCTAGAGACTGAATCCGAAAAGTAAACATCACGGCAGGAACGACTGGAACGACCTCATGACACACTGATTATTTGCCATACATTGTGACCAATGAGCACCTCAAAACATTATTATCTAACAATTAGTAAACCGGTTTTTCATCTATTCCATCATATATCTAATTATACCGGTTATCTAAACTAACAAAATTGATAAGAACTGATAACATAAACCGGTTGAGAACTGCCGGTAATTTTGATTGTAACCGTTTAAATAAAACACTTTAACGGTTTAAAACACGATATATTAGTTAAACTTATTTTTAACTTCGATCCGACGTTTGCGTTATAAACCGTTAAAGTGTTTTATTTAAATGTGTACTACTATAGACAGTATGTAACCGTTTACTTGAAATAACTACTTGAATCAAATATAACAACTAGTCAATAACAAACTAAATATTAAGAATTTATTATATTAAATAAAAAAAATATTATTATTATTTTATTTTATTTATTAATTATATCAAAAAGCAAGACCCAAACGACTCGACAAAGTTACAATATATTATCATTTTTTAGGTAGTAGGTATCAGTCTACAGAATTTTGAAAATCGGAAGGCAATTTAGGTCGACAGCATATCCTGTTTCGATATTATATACGGGACTCCGTTAAGTGAATCCGATGTTTTTAAATAAATCACTTAAACAACCGTTTAAACCGCGTAATTTTTACAATTCATTTTAACTAGGGTCTGACGTTTCAGATGCTTTGCAGCAGTCATGGTCACGGGGGGACTGAAGATGGAGGACGTTGCTAATGTCAAAGTTAAATCTGCTACGTTAGCGCCATCTGTTTCGTCGTAGTTGGTATTTGGGGAAACTGGCTGGGTCCCTATAAGACTCACTGTTTTTGGGAGGTAGTGTTATTAGTACAGACAATAATGCTTGCCTGTCAAGAATTGTCCTACTTCTAAACGGTTGACAATTGGCTTGGAAGACCTTAACCGTTATCCGTTCCGGTACATGGTCAATGATCAAAGTTAATAAGCAATAACCGGTATTAATCGTCGATTGTAATATGGATCATTTATTAAGACCGCCGACTTATAATTTTGGTAGCATAAAATACTGTCTATAGTTTACGCGAGTAGTACACATTTAAATAAAACACTTTAACGGTTTAAAACGCGATATATTAGTTAACTTATTTAAAAAGGATTTTTAACTTCGGCCCGACGTTTCGGATGCTTTGCAGCAGCCGTGGTCACGGGGAGACTAAAGACGGAGGATGTCTCTGACGTCAAAGTAAAAAATTGCTACGCTAGCGCCATCTGTTACGTCGAAAGTTGGTAAACGTGGATATGCATGAAATAATTATTCTTTTATCTATCCATCTTAAGTAAAGTTAAGTTTTGTTTATTTACAATTGGTTGACTCGCCGATCTTTGTTCGAAGGTAGAAGGGATTTTCATATTTCTACCTATTTATATCCAGATTTATTCGACTGAGCCTGACATCTTACATTAACATTACTTGTAAATGTACTAATTGCTCCCATTGTTGTTAGAGTACAGAGCTAACGATATGAGTGCACTTGTGAAGTTATTATTACGCTTTCAAGAAAACGAAACTGCTAAGCCGATTTCGAAAATATTATAGAATTCCGTTTCCTTCAGTTGGGCGAACACTGATAAATTCTATAAACATTTTTAACGTTTTGAAACGTGAAATTTAATTTAATTTATTTTTGCTCGGATATGCGAACCCAATCTTTCGCGCTACAATGCTAAGGCAACACCGTGCTATTCAAAGAGCCGTGAGAGTGGATATAATAAATAACTTATTATTTATGTGAGTTTTGATTAGCATAAAAATTGCCCCATTATATTCCATGACCTATGATCGTCTACAAACAATATTGGTTCAATTCATTGTATGCACAGTGTTATCGCTCCTTACGTACTATCAAAGACTACTATGTCACGTGTGCTAGCTGCAATAGGATAATTTACTTGACGGACGTTGTGTATATATACAAAGAAATAATATACATACTAAAATATATTGTTGATAGGTTTATGTTTTAAAATTTGAGACTAAAACAATTCGACTATTTGAAATATATTGTTTGCAGTTGCAAGTAGTTACACATTTAAAGCACTTTTAACGGTTTAAAACGCAAAATATATTAACTTATTTCTGTAATAAATTTTACGTTTAAAACCGTTTAAAGTGTTTTATTTATATGTAATTACGGTTAAGAGTATTTCCTTTTAAAACTATGTCAAAATTATAAGACTTAACACGTTTTTCATTGTTATGTAAGTGTATACAACTTTTTTAGTTGATGGGTTTACTATTTTCCTATTGTGTTTGAACTTCAAGAAGTATTTTTTTATTGGTGTTCTGACTGTTCGCTTTTAGTTTACAATGCATTTTGTTTTAATTACTTTGAGTATCTAACTGTAACTCTAAGATCAAATAGATATATATTAGGGAGTAAAATTACGGGGCGCTTATGTAAATGTGTTTAATAATTTTACTGATCGAACTTTTGAATTGTTTGTATAATATTTAGGCATTTTAACTCACGTCGAAGGGATGCAAATAGCTTGTCTTCATGCGTCTCTTCACACGATATATATTTTTGTATAGTAACTATCGCTACCTACTAATGTAACCTAATAATATGACACTATCGTTTTTTTGTGAAATAGCCAAAAAATGATGTGGACTAATCATTTATTTTTATCCGTGCCCTCAAAAGAAATAATATAAATATTGGATATCTACAGTAAAGAAAACTCTAATAAAATGCTATTCTTTCAACTGTCAGCCTTCCGTATACATAATATAATTAGCTCTTTTGTATATATATACTTTCAATATGAGAGGAAATATATATTTTTTTTCTACAAGCAAAAGTACATCACTTCTTAAGTTTTAAGATACACAGTTAAGTGTTTATACTAAAGACAATTAAAGAGAGAGAAGAAAGAAGAGAACAAAAGACAAACAAGAGAACAAATACTAACCGTTCGAAACATAGTCGGCACATCGAAAAAATCCTTAGGCGAATCGATGACTACTGCGAACGGCGCCGCTATAATATTCCTCAGAGTCCGTAACGCCGCCAACGAAAGGGTGGCCGCTGCCGTCGTCGACAGCACAGTCTGGGCGCCATCCCCCGTACACTCATTAAGCAAATTCCACACTCCCCTCCATGCGCCGACGCAGCCGATTCCCGCCACGCAAGTGTACAGCCTCGTAAGCACATAGAAGGTAAATCTACCCTTGTCTAAGTTTATAAACTTGGCTAGCGGCGTTTGCAGCACGCACAGCAGCCAATTCAAGCCTAGACCGAATACTAGAGCAGCGATCGCGCTGTACACCGGGTGCTGGGGTATCAGGTAGATATCCATGAGGGACCATGTTGCCTTCCAGTAGGCGACCACCGCTGGCGCGACCACGGCACTGCCGAATACTTGGTCAGCGAATTCTAGGAGCGTGGCGTGCGCGTGAGACCCGCCCGCTAGTGTATCCGTTAGACCGGCCGTACTTCCACGCATGTCTATCACTTGTGCACCCAGCCGCGGGTCCTAGACGACTACGGAACGTCTGCGCACAGCTGTGTCGTACCCCGGCGCGTGACGTTTACTGGGGCCCATAGCTCGATGTTTGATAATGATTATGCAGCTTAATTTGGGTAACCCTTAACGCGACAAATCTCTTTATGGTTCTTAATCTCTGCGACCCGTGCTTAATAAGGTAGAATATACGTAAAAGAATATAAAATTAAAAAAAATAGGACACTAGCGAAACAACTAAACAGCAGATATCGTTTTTTTAACCAGAAATCCATTTTAATTCAATTCTCTTCTAATCGCTCAAGAATTTTCTATTTTTCAAGGAATGTAAAGTAGATTTTATACAGAACAGCATACACATCGCAATTCGGATATAAAAAATGGAAAACAAATACAATTAAATTGCGCTTAACTGGTACAACTCTGAAAGCTGAGTAATTTTGCTTTCAGCCAAGCTTGTCCTGACACTCTAAAATATGATTAATGATTTTGTGTCTTGAAAGGTATCCTTCATTTGGTTTTTCACTCTTTCCCAATAAAGGAAAGTTCGTTAAATGTAAAAAATATATTAATACTAGCTGTGCCCGCGACTTCGTCCGCGTGGAATAGTGACTTGGTGTAGAATTTTCACTTATTTAGGCTGTTTGTTAATTTATGTAAGGGCGCATTTAAAGCAGCCAATCTATGTTGTAAGTGCTACTTTGCCAAAACTCTCTCACCTCACATCACCCCTACCCTAACTCCCACTTTCATTCCTACACTCACTCTCACTCTCACTCCCACTCCCACGCCCACTCCCACGCCACTCCCACTCCTATTCCCAAAAAGCCAAAGAAGAAAGTTTCATTGTTCTAGCTTCAAAAACCACGAACTTTTATACAAACTTTCATCCCTTTTTACAACCCCTATCAATCCTTTTTTGGCATTGAAAAAAGTAGACTATGTCCTTTCTTAGGCTCTAAAATATCTGTATACCAAATTTCATTTAAATCAGTTCAGTAGATTCAGAGTTACTTTAGCATTTATAATATTAGTATAGATATAAGCAAAAATAACTTTCACATTCACCGTGTCTTAGATACATAAAATTCTATACATATTTAAAGATACGCTCTGCAAGTTGTAGTCATGTCTGTAATATTTAAGGATCGTGGGGGCAAAGACATTTTTGAAACATGTGTTTCAAAAATGTCTTTGCCCTTTTTTAAAAGACAAGTAGAGCAGATTTGTGATCGTATTTACTGCAAATTAAAATGATATTTACGTTCTCTGTCTGACCGGAACATCATATTGTTTTCGCGGGATTGAAACCTAGGACCTTTTGACCTTGTTAGTTAGTAAATCAAGATTAAAAGTAACGAAGATTGTCAATTAACATTTATACAATGTCAAGTCACAATGCTTTTAATAGTTTTGTAATAAGGATTATCATAAACGAAACGATAAAAAAACATCACGCGATCTAGTTTTATAAGCATACAATTAGAGGATTATGCGTTTTGTTTACAAGAATTTGTAACACAAGTTTTATCTTTACAATTTCGGTAATAACAATTCGTTTAGTAGACACTGATTTTATATAGGTGGTTAAGAATGTTCTTACAAAAAAAAAATTATATAACATCTCAGCAAGATGCGCTATCGACTTTTGTTGGCTGTGGTTATTTTTGAATTTATTATTGAAACAGAAACACAAAGAAACTTAAAGGCTTTTGAAATTGTGGACGTTAGTTCACAACAGGAGGAATTTTCATATTCCTACTTCCATTTAATATCGAGATTTCCAGACAAAGTTCAGCACGTTTGAGAAAAATTATCAATTAATATAAAACCGTGTTGGATCAACCACGACTCGTTAATACATTGCTACTATTACGCCGTGTACTATTACTATTATATAATTACTATTTCGCGTTTTGAACGGTTATTTTTTTTAAGTTTCCGATTTTATTGATCATGCTGTATATAGCACGTCACTTATGTCTGATTCTTTATCTTTTTAGTGTGTGTGATTTAATTTCGACGGCATTTAATTGTTGTACAGTATTTACCAAGCTTAAGAAATGAGATTCCTAGGATTGGGAAAATGTAAATTGTTAACACATATTTTTAGATTTATAATATAATATATGTTTAAATGAATTCCTAAATATTGTAAAAAATAAATGCATTTTAATTACACTAATTATAAGTGAAGAATGGCTGAACCGAAAGATCGAAAGACCATAAAGTGGTCTTTTAACTATTCTTTAAGTACGTAAAATTGTGTTTTCAATTGATGAGTATATGTTATACCAGGCGTGGACATTTTTTTTAGATTATTTAAAAAGGAAACATTCTTTCATACATATTGTTTAACTATCTTGAACCGTTTTCTTAACGTATGATGCAACGGAAACTCCCAAGGATGAATAAGTTTCCCGTTTCTTTTTCACATTTCCCGGCTGTTCTCATGCTCCTCATACGTCGCAACACAGTTTTATTGCTTATAGCCTTTTACGATAATTTTTTTAACTAAAACGATTTTTTTTTTGATTCGAACCAGTAGTTCCTGAAATTAGTGCGTATAGACAAACAAACTCTTCAACTTTATATATTAGTGTAGATTAGTTCTTATAACAACTCAATGGCTACGTGTTATGTGTTCCGCTACGTGTCTCTCATCTATCTTACCTTGCTGAACCTCGTAGAAAACATATAAGTAGGTTCCTTTCCATCTGTGACCACGAAGTACGGTGCAGCCATCAGATTTCTTGTTGACCGAAGCACCATCATCGCTATGCAGCCGACAATCAAGATAATCGCAATTAATACTGGCCTGTTAAAAAAAAACGTTTTTCTATACTAATAATAACCTACAGCGAAAAAGTTTGCTTGCTTCATTACCTACATGGTATTATAAAATTCTTTTGTTACAATGTCAGTTACCTCCATATCATACCATACGTTTCGACTGATTTTTATAAAATTTATATATCACCAGCCGTTATTTAGTATAGTTTTAGTAATTTAATTTTTGTTTTTAAGTAGTAGGGAGTAGGGGGACCGGCGGTTTCTTACACACAAGAAATTACCTAGAAATAATGTATATGATAAAACAACGTTTGCCGGGTCAGCTAGTATTTGATTATATTCTTTTGAATTGCGGAAACATCAGTTATGACTTTGTAAGTATAAATGTGCTGAAGAGTAGAGAAATATAATATATATATATTAGACAGTAAAAGACCTGCAAAATAAAAAATATTCAAACCTATTTTAAATAAAACACTTTTAACGGTTTAGAGCGAAATATTTATGACAATTTATTTTTAATTGTAATACGTATAAGAGTTTTAAATAAAAATTTGATGTTGGAGAGTCTATCTAATCTATCTGGCTACATCAGTACGTTTTAATGGCTATAACTTACGTGTAACATTATTCAATGAAATTACCTATGAGGATCTTTTTTGTACGGGAATACAGTGTCCACCAGCAAATCCAACAGACCCCAACCTCCTCTCCAGTGCATAGCATTGGCCAGGGTGAATATATAGGTGTAGAAACGGGATATCACTCTTTCCCTGAGCCAGCGGCCGGCTTTGCCTTCCCCCCATGCGTTTGTCGATCGGGAGTAAAGACGGGTTCTAAATCATTTTAATCAATCATTTATTGTAGCAATTAATAGCTTAAAGATTTTTTTAGGATTGAGAAGAACAGACAAGCACCGCGTTGACACTATGGAAGGTTTGAAACTGTATGAATTAAAATCGATTATAAATAAAAAAAAGTGTACGACTCGGGCAGGACTTGAACCGGAATCTAATCTAATGTTCTAACCAATTGAGCGACCGTGTCCTAAACGTCATCGTCGAATTGTTTCAACCTAGACATACATATACATGCACCTAGTCACTTTACACTCAAGTCCTGAACGAGTCGTAATTTTAAAAATTTTATAATCGATTTTTAATTTACGATAGAAGGTGATAAAACATTTGAACTTAACGCGATCTATTTTAGCTTTGAAGATTAAGACAATGACTACTCTATACTTTAAAACACAAAACACAATAGATGTATGTAGAGGGACACCACTCATCTTTTGTTGTACCAGGAAGTAATCACAACGCCGATTTTCAGTGATGACCCACGCTTGACATTCAGTCAGAACAGTTCATAGACGCAAAGTAGCCCGACTGCCATTTTATGACTTGACTAATTTATATTTTCATAGTCTAAAAAGTGTTAGTCGACAAGAGCACAGTGACCGAATGGCTGTTACACAAATAATTGTACAAATACATTTTCGCCTAAGCAATTGCGCATTTAAATAAAACACGTTAACGGTTTAAAACTCGATATATATTAGTTAAACTTATTAGATTTCTTAAATACGGCCTGACGTTTCGGATGCTTCGCAGCAGTGGTCACGGGGAGACTTTACCGCGATATATCGCGATTAATACCGTGAAAGTGTTTTATTTAAATCTGTACTACTCGCGTAAGCTACAGACACTATTATTTAAATTATTGTCTGTAGTTTACGCACTTTACTTTCCTCTACATTAAAAATCATGTTTTTTGTTATTAGGCCACTCTGCCTCTAGCAGCCTCATTTACATGACTTTATGTATACTTACTTAGCGATAGAGAAGGTACATTGTATCAAAATCCCAAGTATGAATACTTCAGCGATAGGGAACATCTTCGGGTAGTAATCCATAAGGCCTAAAGAACTTCTCCACACACCCACAACTAGAGGAGCTACCACGAAACTTGCAAACACGGCGTCGCCTGAAATAAAACAAAAATAGTCTAATATATAAAATAAATAAATACTAGTAATATAGTTTAGACCACCGTAGATAGACCGCTTCTGTAGCCAAATGGTAAAAAACGTATTGCCTAGCATTGCGTTAAGCGGGAGAGGTCTTGGGTTCGAATCCCAGGGAAACATAAAATTGTTTTGGTCGGGCAGGGCACAGAAGTCTGATTAACTACTTGCCCGTTAAAAGAACGGATCAGTGAAACGGACATAGAAATGTGTTCGCCCCATGCCCCACGAGGGGGGTTTTCACTTTATAAAATATAGTTTACCTGAGTAGTACACATTTAAATAAAACATTTTAAATATTAGTTAAACTTGTGTGAGTTCGGCTTCTGAAGGGGCCACAGAATATCAGTGTTGGGACAAAGGTCGCAACGTAGCTGTATGTACTCCATTTCGGAGGCAACTTTTTTATTATTTTGTATGTACTTAATAAATTAATAATTTATTAATCATGTTTGTTGTGTTAAATGTCGAGTGTTGTTTCCGAATAAACGTCTTCTATTGTATAAACTCATTTGGAAATTATTTTAACCACGGCCAGACGATTCGGATGCTAGCATTTCATTTAAAAAATATATAAAGTCGGACCACTTCACACATTACTGTACTCTAACGACGATTGCGCGGGTTCGGATCCCGTTAGTCTAATTTATAATTTTGTGTTTGAAATATTAAATCCTAGCTCTTAGTACACAGTAGCATATTTGGCGGCGCAACAATTTGGCACTCCGTTTGTCTCGGGTTCGAGTCCCGCCTAACATGCTAAAAAAAGCTGTCACGTGAAAGAAGTCTTTCACGTGACAGCTTTTTTTAGATACTGTCTATAGTTTACGCGAGTAGTACACATTTAAATAAAACACTTTAACGGTTTAAAACGCGATATATTAGTTAAACTTATTTAAAAATGATTTTACTTCGGCCCGACTTTCGGATGCTTTGCAGCAGCGTATTGATTTTTTAGCTTTTTTTACCTGCACCGTATCCCATTTCCTGACAGTTACACTCCGTCCTCCCTTCAGAATCTCCATCCTTATTGATCTCTTCTTCTTTCTCATTTTTCTCAGACTTTGCTGCGCCAATTTTTTCGATCCTAATAAGACGTTCATTTGGTAAAAGGTTGTCTGCGCCATTGGGCGGCATCTAAAAAAGAGTTCAAATATAGTACTTAGCTAAATAAAAAAAGAACTAAAGACCAATATTGTAATAAAGTAGACTAACTTCACTTTATAAATAATTGAAATGGACATATCCAGATGGCTTTAAAATTCGGATTTAACACGAAATATAAACATCTTATCAGGCGCTAAAGGTAGTGAGTTCGCATCCCCGAAAAGGCGTCGAATTAATGATATAAAGAGCTGAATTGATTAAAAAAAGTGAAATCCCATTTCCCACCATGACTTTGGCTAAACACGTTTCTGAGTCCCTTTGCGGATCGGTTTAGTAATAGGCAAGTAGTTGACGAGATTTCTCTTTTGCGCCTAACACAATACTAGGCAATATGTTACAGAGGCGGTCTCTGAGCGTATTTGTAGCTAAATGGTTATAGCGTACACATAATATATTAAACTCTGCGCCAAAAATAGCCCCAGAGGTAGACGAAGAAATTTCAGTTAGTTAAAAAGCGGATTCAAAGAATTTTTTCTTAAACATGCATGGAAATTAGAGGACAATTTTGGCAACTTTCTTCGCGATAAATCCAACTTGCTGTTGGTCGAGCAGTGACGGGCAATACTTGTATGGAAATACACATTTGTCGCGTTTTGCAGCCAAATAAATTATATGTGATATTTGTCGTGTAATTTAAAAATGGAACGATCTACTCCACAGCATGGCAACCAAAGGCTAACTTATCAAAGCTCTAATTTAAATTTCGAACTGGCTTGCACATATAAACCTGTTTAAACAAAATTATTAGTTGTTCGTCAAATTTGCCACTGGCTTGAAAGTTCTGAATTGCACTACTTGGTGTTAATAACCGCACTTTATTTAGCCGCAACTATCCATCGCACAAATGTGTAACTTACGTGCGTGTCTATGATGTTTTCGCGTTCGTCCATCAACGTCCTCTCCTGCCGGCCACGACAGTAATGGACTATACTAATATCGTCAAATAATAGCGTACGCTCATAGGAACTGACGCCATTCATATTCGGGTTGACATTGACATTTTAAATTGACCGCGGTGTCCACGGAAAGGTGGCGTCTTGATTTAATATAATCCTTTTTAATAATTCCAATATTCGTTTTTTATGTAAAATAATATCGCACCAAATTTTACGTCTTGGATAATTCTATACGGATTAAAGCTTTCGAATAATTGTAGTTCTTACCCAGTAAATTCTATAGCAAAGATAACATAAATATAAAGATAGAGACAAAGTAAAGTAATATATTAAATTTATATTTTTTGCTGTGTTATAAAAAAAATTGGTGTGCCGGCGACTTCGTCCGCAAAGAAAAATTATCTTGGGCGTTAAAATTTGTTTTTACAAACCTCCTCATCTTTATAAATTATGGCTGTTACCCACAACGTCACTCACGTCCCGTCATTCTTACAAGTTAGTATTAAAAGATAGACGTATACTGCAAATATTTTTTAGATCCTTTAAAGAGGAATTATTTTTTCATACAAATTGTTTGGCTGAACTTGAAGTGTGTTTACAGGGCATGCAACAGAAGCCCTCAAAGATGAGTAATATTCCCCGTTTTACATTTCCCACTTTCTCCTGTTGGTCGCATCGTGATGTTTTAAAGCCTTCGTCAATAAATGCTCTCACCAACAAAAAAAGAGTGTCGATTCGTACCGTACCTGGATCCGGGTTCAAACAAACTCGTCACTTTTATAATATTAGTATAGATTTTAAATCACTTTAGCCTACGAATTCAATATAACATAAAGATTTCGACGTATTGCATTATATTTTTGACAGGCGTTTATTTTAATTTTTCATTATAAACAATTAAAACGGCAGTAGCAATTTACAATTATTGGATAGAAGTACACATAGTATAATATAATTATAAATTAAATAACACAATAACAATTAAATATTAAAATTATTACAAAAGAAAATCAGGAAAAAAATAGAGACAGAAAACTCAACAGAGAATATTAAAAATAATTTAAATTAGAATTACAATTTACTACGCTCATTACATTGAAAAGAACGAAAATGTCAATAGCAAAAAAATATGAACCATGGTCTAAAATATACTTTTAGACGATGGTTCATACTTTTTAACATTTTTCACAAGTTATTGCACATGATGGTCCTATATCAATTAAAAATCGATTAGAATCGGCCACGGTAGCTCAATTGGTAAGAGCAACAGCACGGAACGCTGTGGTTCCTTTTTCAAGTCTTTCAAGACTCGGGCAGGACTTGAACCGGCATCGTCAGCGTTCCGTGCTGTTGCTCTGCCAATCAAGCTACCGAGTCCTACACCTCAAGTAATTTTTTCAACTTATTGATACATGCACCTCTCGTGCAATAACATGTAAAAAAATATTAAAGTTTTCAAACGTTAAACTATACGACATCAAAGGCATTAATTAAGGTATTTAGTTAGTGTATTTTTTATGTTTCTTATAACCCGGTAGAAACTGCGACATCGCAGTAAGTAACGTTGCGTAATTAAGTTTGTATTGACAATTGTAATTGCACTGGTCAGTATAATTATTATCTTCATTTCATGACTAATTTCGACATACAATAGTATAAAGAGTTCTCTATCCTATGAACTTGGAGTTATGATTTTAATTGATCATAACTGTCGTCATAATTATTGGTTTTATTGGCGTTTAATGGGTCGTTAAAATCCATGGACTATTACGCCAGTAAATCAACTTAACACGACAGAAAGTGAATGAGAAGCATAATAAAATTGGTTAATTACACTACATTGTGTAAGTTTTGCAACGATAAATAGTTTTGTCGTTCGCATAATAATCGTTCAACTAATTGCTGTGAATACCTCATCGTGGGGCATTGGTATTTTTAAACCAGTACCAGTTTTGTGTCGAATGCTATGTATATTTACAACCTTTGAAACTTTGACTTAATGTTAAAAATTATAAATCATAAGCAAAATACATTTTTAACAAATTTAAATCGTATCTTGAATGCATTTATTAAGATAAATAATATAAATCCAATAATAGGTCTGGATCTAGAATTAGTACTGTAATCGAATCGTGAGACCGTTGGTTGAAGTCCGGTATATGTCACTTTTTTTCAATGGAAATCTAATTTATTAATTAATTCTCTTAAATTCATCAAGACGAGGCATATTCTCAACATTTTTTCTTTATTTTTAAGAACTTTATAAATAATGACTTTATCAATGATGAAGTTAATCCCAAATTCTCGAGAGACTTTGTAACACGCTTGAAAACATATTTTTTTAAAGTGAAAGAAATTAAATATACAAAACCATACATAACTTTCTAAGAGTTTGTAAATAATATAGAAGATTCAGGATGTAGGTGTATTTAAAACATGTTATTTAAAATAATTACTTTCAATTTTAAACCGGTTCTTAATTATCAGATAACAGTCACGTTTTCTAAGTTCGTGATTTTTAATATTTTTTCTATGAAGTAAATTCCGATGCTGTAATTGAGCTTTTTTATAACAGACTAAAAAACTATTGCAGCAATTAACATCAAATTTCGATAAGAATTACAAAGGTAATATTTTGTTTTTTTGTTTCGATTAAGTTAATAGTTTAATTACAATATCATTTTAAACCAGAATATGATAATAGTCAATAATTTTAACAGACAGAATAATCTAAATAAAACACTTTAACGGTTTAAAACGCGATATATTAGTTAAACTTGCCGTGGTCAGTCACCCCGTGACCACGGCTGCTGCAAAGCATCCGAAACGTCGGGTCGAAGTTAAAAATAATTTCTAAATAAGTTTAACTAATACATCGCGTTTTAAACCGTTAAAGTGTTTTATTTAAATGTGTACTACTCGCGTAAGCTATAGACAGAATAATCGTTAAGAAATATGAATGCAAATCTACTTTATTGTCAGGACATATCAGATTCACAAAAAGTAAGGGAAAAGGGCGGCTTTATATCTAAATAGCTATCTCTTCAAAGCAGAAGAAAGGAAGACAGTAAAATAACAAGTACGTCTGATAAAAATAATTAACAAAAAGAAAAATTGTTTCTCAAGATTATTTCGTGCGTTTCCACAGATTAAAAGAATAGTTTACATTCCCGTAGTATTGTTTACATAAGAAATTTGACCAATTTTCTACAAATATACACGATTTAATATTTATATTTAATAAACGTCAATAAAGTTTGAAAAACAGTAGCGACAAAAAGAAAACATTAAATGAATAGTAAGCAATACTACGTACTTTTACATACGCTTCAAAACGCGACAAACAGGCACACATATTGGTTTGAAAGTAATTTATTTGCTTAATTACTACTTTTCTTTCGGAATTAATCCGTTTATACTGTATATAAGTGAGTATAAACATAAGTGCTTTAATTTATAATTAGGTAACTGAAACATCATACTTCACTACTGCATTTATCATGCCCTCCCAGGATTTAAAAGTGCAATCTACTTTACTATCTACTTACTACTGAGCTGATGCATTTTAAATAATAGAAAACTTAAATTAATTATTTTTTAAACGAAAAGAAAAAACACTAATCTAAAATATTCGAAATGTTAAAATTAAAAAAAAAAACTGTAATTACTCACCTGAAATTAAATTAAAGAAGACCGGTGTAAATAATAAATGTTAAAAATCCTTTCACCTGTGTTCAGTCACTACGTTCCTCGCAACCTTGTGTTGCGCTGAAAGCCTTCATGCAACTGAAGGGCGGTCGATTCAAAAGTCACAATAAATGAGCACACTTTTGTTACCCCTTATAGATACCGCGTTAGACTATTTACTGAAGAATAAATCTTTACTCTGCAAATAATCCGACGCTGTTTAAAATTGGAGCGAATAAGTAAATAACAGAAACATCTAAAATTCCTCAATGACAGTCTTCTTTGGGCTTAAAATCGAAGAGGTTTGAACCAAACTATTATAAAACATTAATTAATAATTATAATTGTTCTAAGATAATTTACAAGAAAAGAGAAAAATAGGACGCTTACTAAGCTAGCCTTGTAAATTTGCTTTTAATATAAACATTGAAGTGAGCACGACGTTGACATAGATTTAGAATTATGCTAGCTATGCTATAAAATAATATTATAATAAAAATACAGTAAATTTGTACGGGCGTTTGTCCGTACAGGGCCCATTGGCGTCCCCTAGTAGCGGGTTAGTTCGATCCCCGACGGGTTCAGAAGGTTACTCAGCCATTTATAGTTTTTCTGAAACATGTTCATAATCTGGTTATTAAATGAATGGAAATATCGTAATTCCACCGGGATCACGATCGTTAACTGATGAAAAGGCTATGAAATTCAAAGCCAAAAAAGTTGGACAAGTAATATACCTTTTAATTTATTCCACCTTTCATTACGTGAACCCCTCTACAAAAGTTAACACACCTTGTAGAGCATATTCCTCCGAACATACGCGTTCTTGAAAGCGCCTAGTACGACTGGTGACCACCTTCATACTTTTAAAATTAAAACTTTAATTCAATAAATAAAAATAATACTGTCGTTATTAGTTTCTTTAAAATTTACTTAAATCTTCAATGTTGACTATACAATTGATATGTACATACATTAAAAAAAACTAAACAAATTATGCAATAGATTTCTACGATTAAAATGATCGTGTAAAAGAAAACGCTTAAATTCAAGAAAAATGTCTTTTCATTGTTTTGTGAACGGCTTGATGGACGTGCGGTGAAGTAAAACTAATGTCTTCGAGTGTTATATCCTTAGAGCGATATTATTTACATTTTGTACATACATACATTTATTATTAGGAAGAATACAATGTTTATTTGTTTACATGTTATTGCGCATCGTGGCATATAAGTTAGAAATTGCGTTTGTTTGTTTCTTTGTTTGAACGCGCTAATCTCAGGAACTACAAGTTCGAATTGAAAAATTCTATTTGTGTTGGTTAGAGAATTTATTGAGCAAGGCTATAGGCTATAAAATATCGCGATGTAACGAATGCAGCAAAGGTACAGCGGGAA